CCTTTATCGTCGCGGCGCCGCAAGACGTAACGAGACGGCGCGATGGGAATACGAGATTGTCGCGTGCGTTTCTGTCCGCGTATATGTGTCTGTGTATGTTTGTGCGCACCTACATGCATATTCCGAAATGACACGCACACGCATACACATGCATGTATGCATGCACGCATACATCCCACCGTGTCCTTTCGTCGTAGTCAGCTTTTTGGCAGTCGCGCGATACCTCATATTCGCCTCGTCGCCCCTTTGTCGCGGGGAAAATCGTCGTAAGCTGAATGCTCGCGATAATAAAGGATCCGTATGTACGTATATACACGCAGTTAGAGACTATTGCCCTGCGTATCGCGCAATGCACACGTAATATTACATATACACGCACGTGCGCGACATGACGCTTTTATGGGCGCTTCTATACATTTTCTCGTCGCGTTCGTATGTTAAAGTATCACGCGGAAAAAGGATTTTGCGGCAAAACTATCGCATATCTAACGTGTAAGCAATCAAACTTTACTACTATGTATAGTTATGTATAATCATAATTGTATGTAACCGATAATTATTTACTATTATACATATATAACGAAATCTGATCAGAAGAAAGTTGGTGAGTAAATTGTCCATAGAAATATCAATATTTGTTGCTAAAGTAAATTTAATTTGTTGTTAAAATGAAATAATCTAGCAATACATAGCAAATATATTTTGCTGTTGCAATGAAGCAATTTATAATAGTGGAAAAATAACTTTTTTAAAATTTAGTTAAATTATTTTTAGTAAATAAAATTAGCATTTTTTACAAATGTTATTTTATTGCCCCTGTATAATAACTTGTCTATATAATAATGACATTTGCTAGGACCATGTAAAATGTAATCTGTAACATATTTTTCTCTGTATATGATAAGCTCTACATTAAATTAGCGCGTTAATTAAGAAATTATTGAGAAATCTTGATTTCCCTTTATTTCAATTTTCAACGGAGACAATTTATATTATATATAAATTATATATCTTTAAAAAAATAAAAAATTAGAAAGAGATATAATCTATTTCAATTTTTTGAAAGATTTATATTTAAAAAATCAGTTCTTGAAATTAGACTATAATTTTGTTATTTAATATTTATTACAATTATTGATTTTTCTAATGTTTCTCCTATTCTAAAATTTATTCTTTGTAGCCTAAATCTATAGCTCTCAACGTATATCAATTAATATTGTTATTCTATTTCTATGCAACGTATTGATACCATTGATGAAATTATTGGTATTTAAATTCGCGGCGAAAGCGCGTATCTATTTCCAAATCAAACGGACATCGCGCTGTTAAAAAGGAGCACAAAATACGTGCATGTGAAATGTCGCGGCAACGATATCAAGGTAGCCGAGTTGGTGACGACGATGCTGAAAAAGGCTAAGGTCGACTGTCACACAGTGTGCGGAATTCGCGACCACGTGTGTGACAGCACGCATTTTCCACGATTATATTCGCCGACCTTATACGGGATGAGACTTTGGCACGGCTCATTTCACCGCGTTAACGCCGTACTTTGTGCATCCGAGCGAGCGTACGTTGATGTATCCGTGGAAAAGAGAATAAGCGCGTGAGGGGCCACGTGACTACTCTGGACGGACGCCAGGACTTCTCTAGGACGTGTCTGGACATCGAGCAGCTTGCTAATGCGCGAAGCCTCGAGCACGGTATACGCAAAATGAGCATATGCATATGCAGCACGGTGCATGTCGTTAGAAAAATGCATCGCATTCATGGGACCGCCAATCTCGTAGCGAAAAATCTCACGCAAATGTAGTATATATATGTGAAAACCTTATGTAAAATTTGCCAAAGACAAATCAAACAATCATGTCGCTCAATGATTTATGCGTTGTGCACAATGATAGATGTATTATATAATTGTATATAATGAGGAAAAAAAGATTATCTCGATAAATATTAATTTTCAATACAATTCTCACGGAGAATTAACTCTTATTAGAATATTTTCAAAGATGTAAGAGAAATGTAAAATATGTATAAAAAATACACGGAAAAAGATATTTATTGCTAGGTGAAAAAGTATGTACGGAAAAAATCTCTTCGCAAAGCTTTAAAGTATTTCGAATGGGAAAATATTTTATATATATTGCTTTTTTATTTTTAAAATTATAACTTTTTATAAATTATATTTAAAAATCGATATAATTTTCTATATGTATAAGTTTAATTATTTTAGTATTAAATTTAACAAGGAAATAATAGTAACAAAAGAATTTTATGCAAAAGTGCAGAGATAATAATTGTGGAATTTGTGTGACACGAAAACAGTATCGAGAGAATCCTTTATCCAACATTATTATAATGAAAAGATAACGAGACTCACCGTACGTTGCGATGCGTAGACGATTCAAACGATCTGTAAGCAAAATATAAAAATTTAGTATTTATATTTGCATAAAATTTTGTTTAATTACACACATGAAAAAAAAGTATATTTTTAACATCGGTAAAGATGAATTTTTATCATTATACTATTTTTACTTTAATATTCACATATTTAATACGACTGTTAAAAGTTCAATATTAATTAACTTAATTATTATTCTTTAACTACTTATAACAATCTAAAAAAAATACCGGCATATTTTGAATATCATACAAACGAGATTAAAAATTACTTTCACTTTCCAGAACACATTAATGGAATGCCGGAGCATTTATTAAATCGTGATCACTATAACGCGGTAATGAATGGATAATTATGATGCAAGAATACCGCATAATTATGCTCACCGTCGTACGCATCAGTGTTGTTCCTCCAACTGCTGCTCCATCGGTCCAGGCGCCTCCTCCTCGCTCATTGATACGAATCGATCGGAAAAACGCGGCTAATTACTGACGCGCACACCAATTAACGCAATACAAATCGGATCGCGCGACATTTGCTTCGGCACTCCCGACATTTACGCACATACTTTTAACAAGTATAAGACGGCACTTTCGCACTCGATGACGGAAGAGGATTAGATTTAGAGAAAAATCCAACCTCTGATCGCGCGCGCGATAACGATCGATTATGTTTTATCACGCATCTCGATTAATACGTAAATCGCGATACACTTCAACCGACACTCGACGCGATATATATATACATATTTTACTCGACACTCCGTCGCACTTTGCGCGTGCGATCGCAACCGAGAAACACGCACATCGATTTTACGATAAACTATTACACGCGCGATATTAGTGCATTCTTAGCGCACACGACCGTACATATTCGACACTCCCGAGACGTAACCGAGAACATTGTGTACACACGCGCACGTACCTTTGCTTTTTGGCAAAAGCAAGGTCGCCAACGACTTTGACTTTGACGCGCCGCGATCTCGCCGGAACGCCACGCGCGACGCATTCAACGGCGAGCTATCGATATAAATACATAAACAACATACAGTACATATATAGATATACATCGAGAAAGAATTTTACACATACGTACACAACTTGGTAACTTTAAATATACTATAAAATATACTACAAAATATTTAAATATACTAAAATAAAATGAAGAGAGACTATGTCTGTGTATGTGTGTGCAATTAAACTTCGCAATAAGAAGTAGAATTTAAAATCTTTTTATAAACTTGTCAAATATTTACTTATGTATTATGTATTTTTTATATTATATATATAGCAACTTGTAGCAATATAAAAGTTTTTAGGGATATATATAGATATACATATATATTATACAAGTATATTATACATATAAATTATATATATATATATATATATATATATATATATATTAATATATGCAATATTATATGTATATATGACATATTATATATATATATATATATATATATTTTTTTATAATATATTCTATATATCTAATTTACACATCGCATGTACTATCTCCTATCGCCGACATATTTTTAAAAAATTATTATGTGCTGCCATCTAATGGTGCATTATTCGAATTACATGTTGTTACCGATATATGATACTCGAGATATTACATTTATTATTCCGTTGAATAATGATAGTATTTTACTTATTGATACGTACAGTTGATGCAAAACGGCAAAAGAATTTCTATCGAAATAAATTTCTAAGTATAAGCTTCTACAATTCTGCAACAAAAATTGTTTTCATGCAAATTTCCAAATATAGATATACATGTGTCTTTAAAACATTGCGTTTATGATACTCGTGCAAATTATATTGAACTGCACATATGTAAAGTTTAATGTATTAATTCGGCGAAGCAAATTCGTAAAAAAATATTATATATATATATATTAATACAATACAAAATAATATGTATAGACGCGCCTTTGCATCACAAATATATTCCTATTATTATTATTTATTCCTCTCGTCCGCTTATAGCGTTTTGTTTCAATTTTGCAAAAAAATTTTATGATGATACAAGAATACACGAATACAACAATACACACATACCATGCAACAATGTACAATTGAAATAAACTCACCGATATTTGCTCCAAGTTGCATTCTCACATTTCACTTCATTCCTACTTTAATATTCGAAAACTAATGACGCGTATATCGTTTCTGAATACCAAAAAGAATTAATTTACATCTACAAACCGACAAACTTTCGTACGCGGCCCGAAAATATATAATGTATTACTGTTCCACGTCGAGATTCAAAATGTGACGTAGACGCGATTTGCGCATCACGTGACCCGAGTTGCGCTGCGTCATCGTTACGTCACGCTCAACGAAGGTTATTCGAAAACTAATGACGCGTAAGTATCGTTTCTGAATACCAAAAAAGAATTAATTTACATCTACAAACCGACAAACTTTCGTACGCTTTTTCGGCCCGAAAAATATAATAAGTATTACTGTTCTTCTGACGTCGAGATTCAAAATGTGATCGTAGACGATTTGCGCATCACGTGTACCCAGTGCACGTCATCGTTACGTCACGCTCATACGAAGGTTATATGTCACAACGCGGTCGCGGTCTAACCTATATTTCTCGAACAATGCAAATTTAAAGGGCGACAATCTCGCGAAAGTAACATGTCAACTCACGAATACATTTATCCGATCGACTGACATTGACACGCGTCATCGCGAAAATGTTCGCCGAACCGTCCTCACGATTTGCAGCACAAACTTGATATCTATTTCGAGTGGTTAACGCGATGCGTTAATCGTTTATTTATAACATTGCTGTGCCGCTTTTCCAGTCGTCGTTTACGAAATCAACGTATTGTCGCATTTTAAAATGTTCTAAATTTTATTATTGATTGCTTTTTTTTTTTTTTTCGCCGCGTACGAGATATGGATGAGGTTTGGTTTCATTTTTCGAATCAGCTCGAAACATTTCAGGTAATTTGTATTTTCCTTTGGCATCGACCTTTCCGCGCTTGCTTCCGTAATCATGCGTTTTATATAATATTTTTATAATGATAATATGATGTATGTGTATATTCCATCAAGTAATTTACCGATCATGTCATTTTTAAATGGCACATTACATTAATTGTTTTATTAGTAATTTGTACAAATTATGATTTTTTTTCTATTCTATATAGAGAAATAATGTATATTATAAATAATATACAATTCTGTATTTTATATTTTATCTTTAAAAAAATATTTTAATTATGTAAAATTTTGCTACTTTAAAGCTGATATGATGTACAAATTACTTCGCATCAAATATAAGTCAAGAAATATTTCAATATACTATCACAAATAAAAATTTGGGAAAGGTTCAAGCATCTGTAGCAGTTCAACAAGCCCAGCAATCGTGTATGACATGGCTAGCTCAGTTGCAACAGTTTATCCTACAGCTCTGCGACGAGCATTATGCACAGCATGCCAAAGATATTGTGCTGCATTTGGCTACATCTGTACAAAAGGGTTGGCAAGAAGTTCAATTTCAATATTACAATGCCCAATGGAATACAGTAGATTTTTATCGTCAATTAGGAACCATGTGGGCTAATAAAGGTATGTTAAGATATTTAACAAATTAATGTTATAAAAATATTTGACTGTTTCTCTGTGCGCTGCACTTTGGAAATTAATTATTACCATAAATTTGTTTTCTTTTCAGTATCAAGAAGAGAAGCAATATATTGCTTAACGGGCATAGCAATTGGAACTGTAATAGGCTATTATATAGGTGTACATTGGAAACCCTCTTCTCATCACATACATCATGTAAAAGCTATAGCTTGCCATCACTATTATGGTATCGAGGTATATCATACATATATATATATATATATATATATATTTATAATTTTTGAATATAATAATTTTTTCTATTTATCACATAGGGTGTGTTGATGGTAGACGATGTCGAAATGCCAACGATCAAAAAATCGAACGACTTATTAATACAAGTTAAAGCCGCTTCACTTAATGTTATTGATACAAAGATATGTTCTGGTTATTCTAGAATTTATAGAAAATTACTTAATTCTGGAGTGAGTATACATTTTCTCAAGACTATTGATATCTTGCATAATATTGTTATAATACATGAATACATATGTATATATTATTTTGAAACAGAAAGAACTGCCTGTAACTTTAGGGAGAGATTGTGCAGGAGTGATAGTTGACATTGGAAAAGGTGTTATCAACTTTGATATTGGAGATGAAGTATTTTTAGCCGTTCCATCGTGGGCTTCTGGCACGATGGCGGAATATATAATCGTTCCAGAAACGCAAGTAGCAAGACGGCCTAAATCTTGTAACTTCGAAGCATCTGCCAGCTTACCATATAACGGCTGCTTGGCATGGGATGCTCTAGTTAATAAATCAGTTATTAATGAAGGCAATGCCAAAGGAAAGCGGTAATACTTTTAACTATCATTTCTAATCTTTTAAATTTTTGTTTCCAAAATATCAATAATATTATTATTATAGAGTTCTCATTTATGGTGGAAGCACTCCAATTGGTTGCATTTTAACGCAATTAGTTAAGTTGTGGGGTGGATATATAGTAACTATATGCAAAATAAATGCAGAACCTATAATGAAAGCACTAGGTGCTGATGAAGTTATAATAATAAACGAAACCGATATTGAGAAGGAATTACAATTGCACGATAAGTATGTAAAATTACATATATATATATAATATATATGTAAAACTTACAATTAGTTTATTTAAATGATCAAAATATAAGTGTTTTTTAATTATGTTGCACTTCTTTCATTACAGATTTGATGCAATTTTTTATACTGATAATCAATCCTTTCAAGAACATAGTTTAAAAAAATATTTGCTGCCTCATGGTTCCTATGTATCTACTATTCCCGAACAATTAAGATCGGATTCGTTAGGATTTATTTGTGGAAGTATATTTGCTGGATGCGTTAGGATAAAATTATTGGTTCAGGTATATTTTAATTTGGTACTAAAGTGTTCGCGATATTGAAATCTGATTGTATTACTGACTGATGTTTTATATTTAGTATATGTTCGGATTTAACATGCATCAGTGGAAGGAGGGCGCAAAATTGAATGTTGCATATCTGCGAGCTTTATGCGAATTGACAGATGCGTATCAATTGCAAACAGTTGTAGATAGAGTGTATGCACCATACAATATTGAGCGAGCATTGCTCCATGTTTTAGATTCGAATTCTATCGGTAGTACGATTATTACGTTTCAGTGACATTTCATTGCCATTAGAAAAAAAATTTCTTCCACGATTACCTCTTTTGTATATAACATTAATATATAATTTTGGTGCAAACTGCCAAATACAATTAATAGACATTCATATTATTGCAAAGAAAATGATAGTCAAAATATTTGGTGCTAAAATAAAGACTGACAACATAATACAATTAACAAACCAGAATATTAGAGCAAATGTTAATACATATGCTACTTTTTTCGAAATTCTTTTTAAATCAACGAAAAAATGAAAATTTGTAATAAATAATCGTATGCAAAAATCTAAAAATGTAAAGATTTTTATAGAAAAATATGTGCGAAAAGTTATTAATATTTAACGTATTAGAGTTTCTACACATAAGAATTTATATTATATATGAATATTGTACTTGAAATATATTTTACTAAATAAATATAAAAATAATAATTATTATGTTATCAGTTGCAATTTTACAAATACATTCGAAATATGTCACAGTAGAATAAAATTCAAGACATTGTAAATATATAATATATAAATGTTATTTTAGCATTGTACCTGTTTGTTAAATGTTACTCTCACTTTGCTTTTCCACGGAATTTACTATTACCTGCTGTTTTCGCCTTTTTAGCCGGAGGCTTTTTTTCTTCTGTCTGTAATAATAAACCAAAATATTTTAATAATTTGAAATAAGATTGATTGGCTGTAAGAGCCCAACGCGGATGTATGTGCGTGAAAGATATTTTATTTGCATATTCAGAAGTATTAATTAGATGGAATTAAATACATTCTTTTAAAAAATATTTCACCTTTCGTTTCGGTGTCGGAGAAGAGTTTGGTAAAACTTTAAAGAATGAATCCAATCTGCCTTGTGTGGATGTATTTCGGGCTTTGTGAAGTTTTTTAGCTCCGTTTCTGATCCGTTCTTCGTTAAATTGCTTATCACCACATAGATATTTTACCAGACCTTCTTCATCTGGTTCAGACCATTTTAACTTGCAAAAAATATCATCTTTAATATGTATAGTTACATACGAGAAAATAAATTTATTTGAAAATTATTATTAAAAATTACTTGGATATCTTCTACGTTCATTACTTCTGGTTCTTGAAATAATAATCTTGCATCTTCGTAATTCCAATTTTCGGGAATGGGGTATTTTTTAATATCTATATTTTCAATAATTGTATCAAGAGATCTATGATTTTTTATCAATTCTATTGCTCTTTTTGGACCAACGCCTTTAATGCTGCCAGTATAATCACAACCCAGCATAATACAGAGATCAATAAACTGTAAATTATATAAATTATATACTGCTTCAAAATAGTTTATAAAATATTTATTGTAAAATATGAAAATATGAAAAAATGCATACCTCATTATGATTCAACTCTAAACCTGCAAGAACCTTATCATAATGAATCTCTTGTACAGGCAATTTTCTGGCTTCACTGAGAGTTAAACGTCGAAGTAATACATTACTACCAAAAGTGAGTGCATCCATATCTTCCGTAGCAGTGGCAAAAACTTTACCAGCTTTTACTAAAGCAGCGCATTGTGCTTCAGCTTCACAAGGAGCCTGTAAAAAATATCTATTAGTACGAAAAAAATTAATGCATAACTATTTCATAAATACTTACATCAATGTAGGGTATGCCCATTAATTGAAGTAATTGTTTAGCTTCATCAGCGTGAGTTTTTGTAACTTTAACCAATCTTCTGCTGAATTTGTCAATAGCCTCCACATTTCCTTTAATAAAAGACATCTTCTATTAAAATCTATTACAAACATTTTTGTTTGTAGATTGTAAAATTTAAAGTATTTTAAGAGAAGATAATTATGGGTTAGTAAAAAAAAATATAATGTTATTACCATCTTCTTCAGCGGCTTGTAAGAGTTTTTGTGCTTCGTCTCTTTTCTCAGCTCGTTTAGCTAATTCTCCGCTTTTTAAATTTGGTGGCTTACCATCAAATACATATACAGGTTTTATTCCTTGCTCTACCAAGCGTATGGTCCGATAAAATGTACCCATTAAATGGCTATATAACAAAATTATTAATTACTTTTTCTTTCTTTATTATTCATTTCATAAAAATCTGATATAATTTTGTGTACCAGAGTATAGTTACTAGTTAGAAATTTACCTGGTTGTTTCACCATCTACAGTAGTGAGCTGAGCCCCTTCACTGCGCACAGCTATGAGAAATTGATATAAACACATAGAGGCATCAATAGCTATCTTGCGACCTGAAACATAAAACCAAAAATTAGTAATGTGATATGTACATTAATAATAGAATACAATTTTAATTAAGAACAACTAATTAATAACTAATTAAGAATGAGATATATATTATAAATATTCGTGAAGATTTAAAAACTTGTCAATTTCTTTTTGTGGTTAAATGTAAAAACTGAAACTCATACGAGACATACAGAGACAGATAGAGAAAAAATTATATACCGAAATAATGCTTCAATTCTCGTTCTTTAATAGCTTCGGGAGCTATATCTGCTATTAACTTTGATAGGCCTAAAATACCCATGTTTGCAGAATATTTATCATGCAAGAAAAAGCGCGGGACTTTTGTTGTAAAGACAGTTCCTCTCCCTCTCAAGAGTTGCTCTCTTTTGCCGAAGTTGACCGAAGCTAGCCGAAGCTTGCCGAAGCTGACCGAAGACCGAAGCTAGCCGAAGCTGGCCGAAGCTGGCCGAAGCGTTGATGCACATGCACATGGGGCATGGACGTGACGTGCGCTCATACATTAGTGCGTTGCAAATTGCCAACTTGTAACTTTCAATTTATCACTTGTCTCTGAGCCTCTGACAATATCGGAACAGTATTTTTCTCCGTGTAAGTATTATCTGATAATTATCTTGAAAAAACAATATTTTTTTCTCTACATGTTTAGATATCTTATATTCGTATCTTATATTCTCCTTTTATATCTCTCCGCAGTGATATTCCTGTATTGACTCTATAAACTTGTTTTATAACCGGATCCAAAGTTCATATTAATAATTCATTATTATTCACACTTGATTTTAATTTAGAATTACTTGTGGATTTTATTTCGAACGTTTCCAAGGAGCTTGGAGTGAACTTCGTGACTAGCGATCGGAGTCAATTATTACAAACAATCATCGATATTGACTTTTTTTAGAGAAGAAAAATAAATTTGAAAATGTTGAAGGTATGTTATTATTATTTTATAACGATGTTTCTACTTCTATTTCTTATAACAAAAATATGATAGAATTGTTTTATATATGCATGTTTTTAATTATATATGTAATATATATTATATATTATTTTATAATATCATTGTTTCATATGTATAATTATATTATTATATAATGATGATAATATTTAAGATATTTTATAATTTTATTCAATGAGATATGATAATGCTTATACATGTTAATATTTATATATAAACATTATCTCTGAATTATAAAACTTATATATGGCATAGTAAAAATATTTAAATATATTAGAATAAAATAGAAAAATGCAAAAAGTACAGAAAAAAAACAGATCAAAGGTTGAAATTAAATGTTTGCATATGTTTTACTTCAAACATTTAAATAAGATTAATTTCTGAGAATCATATATAAATTAAAATGTAATATCTATATATAGATTTTATGTGTGTTTTAAAGCTGTTATGTAATAAAATTTATATGGTGGTTTCACAGGGTGTTGTAGCTTTGGTGACTGGTGGTGCCTCTGGATTGGGCCGTGGTACGGTAGAAAGATTTATCAGACAAGGTGGAAAGGCAGTTATTGCCGATTTGCCTGTTTCAAAAGGCAAAACTGTAGCTGAAGAACTAGGAGAAAATGCAATATTTGCACCTGTGGATGTATGCATAATATTAAATACAGTCATTGTATCATTTTATCATTTTTAGAAAATGTATTTTGTAATCTATTACTTTAGTTTCTTCATCAGAGATCATTTTGCTTTCTAAAATAATTATTTAAAATGTTAAAATATTTAGTTATACAAATATTATGTAACATATATATATATATATATATATATATATATATAATTACATTTTTATTATATTATTTCTTACCATCTCTCTATTTTATATCTTAAAATTCTTTCTTTCAGGTAACTTCGGAATCAGACATGCAAGCTGCTCTCGATCTTACAAAACAAAAATTCGGCAAACTCGATATTCTAGTTAATGCCGCTGGCATCGCCGTCGCCCACAAAACGTATAACAGCAATAAAAAAATGCCTCACAATCTGGAGGACTTTGCTAGAATTATCCATGTAAACACTGTTGGTAGCTTTAACGCTATTCGCCTTTCCGTTGGTCTGATGATTGAAAACACCCCTAATCAAGATAATCAAAAGGGTGTAATTGTTAATACTGCAAGTGTTGCAGCATTTGATGGTCAAATAGGTCAAGCTGCTTATTCTGCTTCGAAAGGGGCAATCGTGGGTACTGTATTTTTTCCCTTATTATCTTATTTATACTCATCTCTTTCTATTTCAGTCTTATTTTATATGCTATATTCATTTTCTGTTTCTTTCCATTCTTATCTACATTAATCACTACTTATGCATATTTTACTCATTATAATTTATAAACTTTACTTTTCTTATCTTCCTTGTTTTTCTTATTAGTTTTTGTTATTCTTATATAGGAATGACCTTGCCAATTGCTCGTGATCTTTCCAAGGACGGAATTCGTGTTGTTACAATTGCTCCAGGAATTTTTGACACTCCGTTATTGATGGCATTGCCAGCGAAGGTGCGAGCTTTTCTATCGAAAAGCGTTCCTTTCCCTCAAAGATTAGGAGCTCCTGATGAGTATGCAATGTTGGTGCAGCAAATTTGGGAAAATCCGCTATTAAATGGAGAAACAATTAGATTGGATGGTGCTCTGAGAATGCAAGCTTAAAAAATCATCAGTCTTCCATATTGATGAAATTAAATGATTAAACGTTAAAAAATATTTCTTTTTCTATGTATATATATATATTTGTAGGCATTTTTTTATAAAGACGTTAACCGACGATGAGATTAGCTGATTTACGTGTTTTGTTTGTCGACCTCGTGCCGGGTACTTATTTATTTGTAATATTTATTATTGAAAGCGTTCTGAGCGATCCTTTGTTTGTCGAGAAAACCGAAAACACAGTTCTGCGCGATGAACGAAGGTAATTCTGATTGGTCCGATGTTTCGGGTAGGGAAGGTTTTAACACCGGGTATAAATATGCCGACTTTTTGGGAATCGGGACAGACATTGTTGTTGAGAACATCATCTTCGGAGCGTTTCATCGAGATACAAGCACGCATTCTCTCACGAACCGGCGGACGACCTTTAGTATCGAGGCGGCAGGAAGGAAGACAGAATAAAAACGGGACTTGGACAGCGAAAACGTTTTCGACTCGCAATAAACACATATATATATATATATCTTCCGAACCTGACTTCTTTTCCTGATTCAACTAAATTCATCCGGCCTTCTCCTGCATTCCTACATTTCAATAATCAATAATTAATTGATCGATTTGATATTCGATAAAAGATACGGCTACAGTTAAGTATAAAAGATACGCCTACAGTTTATCAGAAGTGGGATCGAGGCGTTGCACCCGGTTTCGCGAATTCGACTGGAGACAGGCGATTTCGGGATTTGTTCGCGATACGTGTCGAGTGTGAGACGCGCAGGTAGAGACGATTGATGCGTGGTGATCGTCGGGTTGCGTGAGTATCGTGGACATCGCGGTGTGCCGAATAGTCGGGCGGATCGGAGTGACAGCAACGATGCAGCCGAGTGATTTCACCATCGCTGAGATGAAGGAGGCTCTTCGCGAGAAAGGACTGACCTTGGGAGGTCGAAAGCCGAGCTCATCCAGCGCCTGAATGCCAACGATTCAGGCGTATGGGCGAGATTGAGCGAGCAACGGAGGCAGGAGAGATATTCGGATGGCATCCCGGCTTCAGGAGGTGTGCGTTCACCCAGTGAACAGGGTGACGCCATGGAGATGGAGACCGTGGACGATACACCGAGACGAGGAGACCGAGTGAGGATGACGACGCCGGAACGGAGAGAGCATGACGACGCGACGCAGGCAGAACTCTTATTACTGCGTCGAGAGCGAGAAATTTTGGAGAAAGAGCGACAGTTGCTCCAAAGAGAAATAGAAATGATGAGGAGTGCAGCCTCGACACCGACGATGACGAACGGCAGCGTTATTTCTGCGTTCGGCGGTGTGAGAGGAATTAAGGAGCTGCTGCCTGAGTTTGACGCGACGGACAGCACCTTTTGGAGATGGAGGCAGCAGTTGGAGCTGCTGAGACGCACGTATCAGCTGGACGAGAATTCAACGAGAGTGTTGATTAGCTCTCGGTTGAAAGGCCGTGCGTTGACCTGGTTTTACTCAAAGGCCGAGTATGTGACGCTGGACCTGGAGGACCTTCTGCGAGAGATGGAGTCGATGTTCGACCTGCGGCCAGGAAAGCTGACACTGAGGAGAGAATTCGAGGCTCGTGTGTGGAAAGGAGACGAGCAGTTTTGCGATTATTACCACGAAAAGGTGATTCTCGCAAATCGCGTACCAATCGCGGAAGACGAACTCCTCGATTACATCATCGAAGGAGTGACGGATCCTCGGCTGCAGAGTCAGGCGCGCCTGATGAACTTCCAATCTGGAAGAGAGCTATTGAAGGCGTTCGAGAAGGTGGTTCGAGGGAATCCAAAGAGACCAGACGTCCGGCCAGGGAGAGACGGAGCGAGGACGACCAGCGGAGGAAGAGCAGAGACGGCGACGCGGGGAGACTCGACGGGGTGCTATAAGTGTCGCGAAACGGGACATACCGCGGCTCAGTGTGTGCGACCGCAAGCGAAGCGGGTGTGTTATGTGTGCGAATCTCCGAATCATTTCGCCAGAGAATGTCCAAAGCGAAATCGGTCCGCGGCGTCGGAAACGCCGAACAGCGTTGCGCAAACTACGTCGATGAACGTCGTGCAACCGGTTGCATTATTAAAGCCATATACAATCACTGTAAAAATTATAACTGAAAACGAGAATAAAGGTTTTGACAATTACGTGGTGGACGCAATCATAGATTCGGGTTCTCCGATCAGTTTAGTTAAAAGCGAGATAATTCAGGGCGATTCACGTCTGCTCGAGAACGAGAGCATCGATCAATTTTGCGGAATCAACGGCTCGCGGTTAAATATCGACGGCATCGCTCACGCTGACTTAGAGGTGAGAGGCGTGCGTTTGGAAATGAAATTTTACACGGTGCCCCATAGTACGATGGCGTATAGCGTATTACTCGGTCGGGATTTCCTGAATTGTCCGTCGCTGCGTGTAACATTAGGGCGAGATTTTGAAATTACAAACGCGGAAGAAGCGCGCGTTAGTCAAATGATGCATATTGAATGCGACGACAATGTGGTATGTTCGAGCGAAAAAGTGAAAATTAATCCGGCGGTTGATGAAGATACCACCGAAAAGATCTGCGAGGTCTACGAATCTCATGGTTTGAGTAGTCTTCGAGCGGAGAAGTGCGTGCCGGATCTCGAGAGGGTTATCGCATTAAAACACGAACGACCGAGCGATGAGAGTATAGAGTCTGCGTTGAATGATCCGGTGCCATGTAACATCAGGGACGTACATAGGTTCGTCGGACTCGCGAGTCATTTTCATCGATCTATGCCGAGATTTTTATTGGTGGCAAAATCATTGTACGATTTTATTCGAAAAAACTCTGTTTTCAAGTTTGGGCGTCACCTGTTTGTCGTCATCGACGTGTTCGCTAAATTTATCCGGCTCTACCCGCGTAAGTCAACAGCATCGGAGGAATCGGTAGAGTATCTCTTTAAATATTTCTGCGCGTATGGTAAATCGAGACGTTCAATTTCGAACAGAGGAACTTGTGTCAAATCTGACATATTTGAGAGATATTTGGGATCCGGTGCTATAGAGCACGTATCAATTGCTGTGGGCACGCCGAGGGCAAACGGACAGGTGGAAAATATGATAGAATGATAATTCCGATGGTGAAAAAATTGAGCAGCGAGGTGATGCGAGCGATCTATTACGCGATCCAATTAAGGTGAGCGATTATCCGTAGCGCGACCTCGACGCGAGATAAACCTCAGACAAATATTGACGAAGCGCAAAAGAAAAAAACGAGATGTGATATAATTTGCGACGGATCAAATGCACCCGTATATTCGAGCATGATTATATATTATTTGGTAAAGGAATTTTATTTATTGCGTATTGTAATTTTGGTAATAACGTTGACCGGGACGGTCAAAAAGTCAGGATGGCCGAGCTGTAGGCATTTTTTTAAAAGACGTTAACCGACGATGAGATTAGCTGATTTACGTGTTTTGTTTGTCGACCTCGTGCCGGGTACTTATTTATTTGTAATATTTATTATTGAAAGCGTTCTGAGCGATCCTTTGTTTGTCGAGAAAACCGAAAACACAGTTCTGCGCGATGAACGAAGGTAATTCTGATTGGTCCGATGTTTCGGGTAGGGAAGGTTTTAACACCGGGTATAAATATGCCGACTTTTTGGGTATCGGGACAGACATTGTTGTTGAGAACATCATCTTCGGAGCGTTTCATCGAGATACAAGCACGCATTCTCTCACGAACCGGCGGACGACCTTTAGTATCGAGGCGGCAGGAAGGAAGACAGAATAAAAACGGGACTTGGACAGCGAAGACGTTTTCGACTCGCAATAAACACATATATATATATATATCTTCCGAACCTGACTTCTTTTCCTGATTCAACTAAATTCATCCGGCCTTCTCCTGCATTCCTACATTTCAATAATCAATAATTAATTGATCGATTTGATATTCGATAAAAGATACGGCTACAGTTAAGTATAAAAGATACGCCTACATATTATTAATATATATGTATATATTAATATACATGCATATTATGTATATATAAATTAAATTTTCTGCAAATTTTAATTATATGTTTGATACTTAGAGAATTTTTCATTTCATATCCTCTCCTTTACTCTTTCCTTTAAATTTTTATACCATAGAATATTGCAATATTTATTGCATATATGTATATATATATGGATTTTGTAAATAATAAGACTAAAATTTTTAAGATTGAAATGTTTTTATACAGTATTGTTCTCAATATGCGTGTATAATTACAGTTTGCTTTTTTAAATTGTAATTTAAATTAATCTTTTTATATTATATATATTTTGTTTTTTGAATTTTCTATATTTTAATTTTTTAACATAAATTTAGTAACTTAAATAAGGGTGGAATAAAAATGAGGAAAATCGAATAACAAAGTCCTTTTTACATGCAACACCAGTGTAATTCCCTTGAAATGTACACTAACGACTGCGTGCAGATTATTACGCCCATTGTAGTACACAGGTATCGATAATCCTCTGTTTTATCTCCTCTCACTGTACACTATCTTTTACGAAAAAAAAATCTCCTTCATCTCTTTGTCATTTCACTAAATCGAGATTCTCTAATCAACCCATTAAAGCCCGTTGCCCTGAAATAGGACAGTTAATTCTAACTTTTTATGAATGGATCAATCTCGGTGATCTTATATAAAGTCTTGCATAATGTCATGGTGATCTTGTATTAATTCTTGCTATTCTTTGTTGACTGTCCTGGTTTTATATATATCTTATCAATCTTTATCAAACTTAAGTTACCTCTTATTCAAATTTAATCATTCTGTCAATTAATTTGTCAAATCATCATTCCCTTAGATTGTCATTCCTTTTTTCCTTTCCAGGATGTTAATAGATCAATATGGTAATTAATTTACTTAGTTTCATAAATCGATCTCCCATAATACTGTTCGGTTATTCATTGCTGATATTTCACATTACATTTTCAAAAATGCTTGCAATTCGATTAAATCTTAAAATCTGAACATTTTATAATGAACCCATGTAAATTCGTCTATAATTCGTCAGAGTGCTAAAGATTAAAATTGACAGAATCTCGTTGAAGTATCAGGATCTAATGCTAAAGACACACAAAAATGAATCTAATTCTATAATATAAACTTCTCAGCACCAATTGACCTATTAACGCCCATTATCCTAATGATAATTCAATCACAATTTAAAACATTCTTATCTCCACTACTCGATCACCATAAGAACAATGTCACTCTCAGAGTCTTATTAGAGTTTTATTTGTTAGTCTTTCTTGCTCAGCACTTCAGGCGATCGCCAGAAATCTAAGAGATGTCGAAAATTATCGGGGTGGCCATCAGGCAATGTAATCTTGCCATTTTGGGCCCCGGGGTCCAGTCAGCCCTAGGCGTTTGATTCCTTGAGCGTCTGCAACTTCTCTAACTGATCCGGTTGAAGTTCGTCCGGGATGCTGGCTCTTCCTCCCACCAGCATTTTTCCTGGTACCATTTCCTCTTCCTCTTCCTCCATGATTTCTGTGACTTCTTCCGTCACTTCCACCACTGTTCCTCTCGACTGGGAATTTTCATTGGTACTGGGACCAGAACCAATTGACTCTCCTTCACTACCGGAACTGCTGCTGATCGGAAACGGTGCTGAATCGGCAGGGAGTTCATCGATCGTGGATTTTTCTTCAACTTCTTCTCCATCTTTTTCATCCAAAATGACAGTTGCTTCTTCCTCTTCTTTACACTCGCTTTCGTTTGGGTCCGTAGCAGCGCTTGAAGCTTCAGGATCCGCTTCAAAGGTTTCCGATTTTGCTGGATCTTCTGAAGTCTCTTCTGCTCCAGGAAAAGGATGTTCCACCTCTTCCATTGGAGTTGCAGCTGTAATGACGATTTGAGCCACTCCAAGACCAAAATCGTCGTTAGCGGAGTTGGGATCTTCGGATTTCTCTGCCTGTGAATCGAGTAAAACTTTATTTTAGTATAATGTAATTTTGTGGCTCCATATAAACCGTGTATCCCACGCATTAAATGTAAGAAAAACAATCTGAAATTTATTCCAGAAATACAATTTAGATTTAATCTTTGAAGCAGATATTATTAAAATCAAAGTAGGAAATAATAAAAATATAAAAAGTCAAATATTGAAAGTATAGGCGTATATAAAATCGTTGTCGTAAATTTTTTTTATTTTATTTGAACGGTTTGGTTCCTTTAGAATTTCAGTAGATTAATTTTAAAAAATTATGTCTGGATCCACATAATTTTTATTGTTAAAAGTAGTATTAGAAATATTATAAATAACATTATTAATGTATTAAGCATTTGGTAAAAACAATCGCATGCTTTTTGAGTGAAATTATTTAAAAAATCTAATTTTGCTAATTATGTTAAGATATAATAATACTGCAAAAGAGCGATCTTTATTTTTCCAAAGCTTACATTTTTTCAGCTTTTGTTACTTTATATGCAGAAGATGTTATAAACCTGCTCAACTTGCTCAAAATTCACACAACTTTTTTGGGATACATGATTCATATATAATACCAAAAAAATAAAGGGGTGGGTCGTGAGACAATTTAACACACATGGAATTTTTTCAGGATTCTACTTGCAGCAAAAATAGATAATACTTTCATCATTTTACATTTCAAAAGCTTGTTCTGCTAGAATTTACTTTTGCCGAGGAGAAATTGTACGATAATAATTTGGCAAATTAAAGTTGCATTATTTTGTTATATTTTGTTCAATTTTTGCTCAATTCATTTTTATAATGAAAATTATTTATTTATTTTATACGATACATTAAAATATAAATACATAATGTCGAAATATATGTATTTTTTTATTTTGATCGATTGTATAACAATTATTTTATTAATATTATTTCTCTTAATGAAAGTAATTTTACAGAATCAAAGAGCTAGAGTACGCCCAATATATGTGTGTTAAATGTCTTTGCTACAAACGATCTTTCACGTTATAGCAATTTACCTTATCGCCCGATTCATCTGATACCTCCACGACTGTGCAGCAAGTCATAGTATTTCATAGATTAAAATGCAAATAAATAATAATGTCCACTATATTTTGACTATTACAATAGCCCATTTGCGGGTTTTTGTTTCATTTTTGAAGATTACCTATATTTGGCGCTTCTGAATTGTCTTCCTCAAATTGTGAGCCGTAATGGTCCTTTTGGTTCTTGGATAAATTCATCATAAAACCTCCGTCATCATTTATCGTTGACTTATCTTCTTGCGAATCTGTACCAAACATTGTATTCTTTTTATATATTATTATAAATACATATCAAGTTTTATATTAAATTTAATAAATTCTTTAAAATGAGGATCACCCTTATATGAATTTATGGATTCACAATCTTGAAGAAGGAGGTACATACAATACTTTATAATTACATTCATATTAATATTATAATAATAGAATATATATGATTAATACGAATATAATTAAAAGTGGCCATGATTACCTTCAAGCTGAGCAAGTTCTTCTAGCAAAAACTCTGGTGCAATTTCCGGCGGGGTGAAGACTGGCGGCGCAGAACTTGGTGGTGTTACATCCTCCTGTGAAATAATAAAAATATTTGTACTTTTTTATTTTATAATTAATTATTGATTATTTAATTTAGCTTTTGAAACCTTATAGCTTTGAAAACTTATATACATATATAATTTTGGTTGAAACAAAATTTCTTGTTCAATATATAATTTGATTTATGATTTATATATAATTTATTTTAAAAAATTCTCATACTTAGAGAATAGTATGCAATCTTCTGATATTTTGTAACTAATAATTTATTTATATTAACATAAGTATATAATTTTTGATAAAATAATATTGATAAAATTATTTTTTCACCTGTGGAGTCAAAGGACACCCGTCTGGACCGCAAGGTTCTACAACGAGAGAAGGAAAGATACCTCGTTGATCTCTTAGTTCACCTTCCCACCAACCGTCGTCCACATCGTGCGGTTCTTTTCTCAGCACTTTAATGATATCGCCCTCTAGGAAGCTCAGCTCCTCGTCGCACGTTGCATCGTAATCGTAGTTTGCGACACAAAATTGCTCCACTTCTAGAAAATGTAATATATAAAATAATTAGTGTAATTAATAAGTTAAAGAATTTTACATAATAATTATATCTGTGATAAATAATATCTTTCATGTGTATATCATCGTTTTGCTTCCTCATAGAGGAAGCTTTGTTTTGGGGAAAAATATTTTTTTCAGACTTTTATACCAATGTGTTTAGAATGTTCCAAAATATCGAAAAATAATATTAAAAAAAATGTGTATGTATGTACGTACATATGTGCACATTCACATTTGCGTTTAGATTTAAATATCTCAAAAATTATTTGACTTGCAACGCTGCGGTTTTTTTCTTTATATAAATATATAAAAATAATTATAATCGAAACATTACATACATGTAGATTTTATCCGATTTCTTCAAATCTTATCAAAACAAATAAAAAAAAATTACAACACAATCTTTCAACGTACCTCCAATGTGATTTTGCATAATAGCTTCTTCCGGCGCAGTAATTTGCAAGCCGGCATCGGGATCGACAGCGTCGTGATCGTCGATCGTATAATCGACAGATGAGAAAGAAATTTGTTGGACTAGCCCCGGACCCTGCGAAGTCAGACCCCCAGTAGTAGGTTCCGGCTCTCTCTCCACATCGAGATAATTCTGAGGTACGAAACCCTCCTCCCCTCGGTAATTTCTCGCTCTTAACCATCCATCACCGTCGCCCTCGCCCACTACATCCAGCTGTTCGCTTTCCACGATGGAAAGCTCATCAGGATTTTGTGCCTAACAACCATAAAAAAGTTTGTTCATCTCCATAAAAAGTACTCAGAAAAGAACGGATATTACTTTAATCAAAAATTGTAAAATATTCCATAATTTATACAATATAATTTCAAGATAATATTTGAAATTCACAAAAAACATCCTTTAACTTATCCGATTTTTATTTAAAAGTTAATAGAAATTTTTATGAAGATAATTTGTAGTAACATATTATTAATATTAAATTTTTAAACATAATAATAATTCTCTGTATTAAAAATACATGTTTAATAATAACGTATTTTTCATAATTTATATATATATATATATATATATATATATATATATATATATATATACATCTATATTTGTTTAAAAATTCAGCGTAAAATTATACGCTTACTGTGTAAGAGTAGAGAGCGGTACACTTGTATATGGGTTGATTAGAAGGCATCTCTGGTATTTCGTGCGTCATCTCCTGCTCGTCCTTTTCCTCGTTATCCCAATCAACCGCTGTGGGATCGTCCCAGCCTGCCGTTAGCTGTTCCATTCGTTGCTTCTCTTGCTCTAACAATGCTAAAAAAATAATTTATTTTTTTTAGCCTTTCATCTTTTATCAAACCATCAACTTTAAAATCGCGATTAATTTTTTAAGTACACAAATCGTGTATTTATTTATATTTAATTATACATATAAATTATATATATATATATATAAATACCATATATATATTTATAAAAATATACTATCTGTATAATATATAATCTAGAATATCAAATTATGTTATAGAATATCAAATTATCAAAAAATTATATCTTGTTATATCTCAACAATAAAAATTAATATTAATAAATTATATAAATGCTAGAATTTACATAAGTAATATGTGAACATTGTCTACACACCATCAACTTCGGCACTGTCATGCCTCTGCCTTTCTTCAACTTCATCTTCGTGCTGTTGCGTCTTTCCAGGTCGTTCGACAGTTGTTAGGTCACTTCCGCCGTCGCCATCGCTGTCATAGAAAGAGTCTGATGACGGATGTTCCTGAAATAAACGCATTTTTTCGTAATTAGAAAACGTTTATAGACTTCATATTTCTTCATTCATGACTAATAGTGACATACTTTATAATGTTTTTTACGATTTATTGTCATAAATTTTGTAAATTTTAATTTTCACAATAATAACAATTTAATAAATATGACTATCCAATTCGCAAGAGATAAAAGATTCGGAGAGATAGAAAAAATCTAAGATTTAAAATATAGAATATTTTTTTATAATTATGGCGTATAACATCTTCAATATTATTAAGCAAAAATTATCAAATTGCACAATATGCATTCTAATAATTACCGCTGCACCAGATGCGTCTGTCCTGACGGAGAGGGAACTGGCCGAACGAGGTATGTCTTGAACACTCAGCGTTTCAGCTTCTTGCAGAAATTCATCCACATTCACTGTAAAATTCAAAATAAGCAAAATATATAAGAAACCTCATAATACCTTAATATATAGAATAATTTATTGTAAAATTCAAAATAATAAAATATACAAGATTTCTTTTAATATATTTGATAATATTAAGAAAAATATAAGATAAAAAATAAATTCCATTTTAGAGAAATAGATTAGGTCAAATTTTATGTATTAATATAAAAAAAGCTTCTTTTCATTTATTATCTTACGACTATAATTCATGCTAATAAAAGAAATAAATTTTTTATTGATAACTTCTCAAATATATGAATAATTAATGAATTAATTTTATAAAATTTTTCCGATATAAATTACAAGAATCAATTTGGAAGAATTACTTTATTCTTTTAAAATATGATACCTTAAAAAGACAATATTTTTTTTATTTAATAGAAAATATTGACAAACCTCCACCGTGTCGAAGACATTCTATCCTCGCTTCGGCCTTAAGTTTTGTTGTCTGTTATCAGAAAAGAAAGGAATATATAATATATAATATTCTACATGTGTGTGTGTGTGTGTGTTTCAACTATACAGTTTAATATTTTTGAATATATATTAAACTAAATAATTTTTTCCTTTTATTTTACCTCTGCTCGTCGAATAGAGTGTCTGCATTCGTCGATCTTAGTATCTAAATCTGGACCATTAGGATCATTCGGATCAGTCTGAAAAAAACAATAAATTTTATAGTTAATTTATAAAATATTACAATTTTTACATTTAAAAATAATCTTCATATGATAAATATAATAATATTTTCATTATAAAATAGAAATCTTAAAAGAGGCAATGTTGAATTTTGTCAAAAATTTAGAATTGTAACTTTTTAATAAAATTAATATAAAATTAGTTGAAATAATAATAAAATCATATTATTGGAGATTATTATTTTTTTACGACATCCCAAGTATTACGAACCTTTTGGCCAGCATCTTTGAGTTGTAGCAGCGCCTGTAGTTTTCGATTGTTCTCGCGGATGCTGCTGACCTCGCGGGCAATCCTCGTCGACCAGCGACGCGCTTCATTGCCCAACGTCGACGCTGCCGAATGATCGGCAGTTATCCTAAATTTGGCAAAAATGTTATTCAAATCTAGTTATTAAAATTTAGAGAGATTAGTTTAAACAAATTTGTTTGCAATAATATTATTCTGATATTAATATTATAATTTAAATATATGTTTTTGATATGTATTTATATTGATACATACATACAGTATCTCATATAAATTTGTCTAATCTGTATAAGTGCTTTACAATATAAAGATGAATAAGAATGTTATTAATAATAAGATAATCTACAAACCTATCTACCGGATCATTATCGCAGCGCTCAAAGTCGTACTGAATATGTTGTTTTATAACAGGATAGTATAAACAGCAACATTGGATATTGTATTCCCTAGTAAGCTGCGAATTAGTATCATTAGTCGCAAATTTTTTCCTTATCACAATCAAAAGTAAAAAACATTAATTTATAAAGATTTATAAAATAAAAACTTCAAAGGAACATTACATAAAAATAAAAATAAATAACAAAAGATATCAGGAAAGTTAACAATATTAATAATAAAAAATAAATTATTTCATAAAATATATTTTATAATGTTATTAATAATAATTTTTACTGTTCAATATTTAATAGTGACAACATTGTTATATATTTTCATTATATTATATATTTTTTTATATTTATAAATGAGTGTCATTGTCAATCATTAAACATACCTGCTGAGCTTGATCGCGAATTTTGCCAAAGCTGCTTTGTGTAGCTAGACAAGTAAGTAGTTCAGTGCGTGCCATCAGCGTTAAATATTCCTGTACTTTATCGTAAACTCCTTGCTCCAAATACTAAATAATGCAAAAAAATATAATAAATAATAAATACCTCATATCTGTTATAAAATTATGATTTTGTGAATATGAAATAAAGACAAATAATGATTCTTATCTTTCCAAATATAATCATACATGTAATTTTTTTATATATAACTCTATACATCTCATATGTATGAAGTACTTACTTGCATGGTGGCCTGTAAGTCGACTACAAAATATCGGTTTTGATGGGCATTAGCGGCGGCAAGACTCAATAAATAATCATTGCGTGCTCCGGTTGATTTCTCCTCTAATTGATCTCGCTTGGAGCTAAACTGTAAACAGTTACAAATAAAATTAAATACATACAAATGCTGATATTTCCGTTAAAAGTATAATTTATTTTTAATTAAATTAATTATTAATGAAAATTATCATATACTTAAATAACTGAATTAAATTTATAAAATTTATTATTAATGTTCATAATGATTATAAGTTTAGTTTTAATTTTTTCCACAAAATATACTAATAAAAAATATGGTAGTAAAAACGTAAAAATAATATATATTCTTTTCTTTTATTATTTTTTTAATAAAATACTCTGTATTTAAAGAAAAAAAAAGGAGAAACTGTTTGTTGCTTTTACTTAAAAATAAATTGTTATATTCCTGCGAGAGGTCTCAAAGAAATTATAGGAATTTCGAAAAATTCTACCTACTTTTTGTGTTCTAAAATGTGATAAAAATGTAGTAATCAAAGAATTAATCTTAAAGATGAGAAATCTCACCTTGGCGCTATTTTTCTGCAATGTCGTTATTGACTGGAAAAAGGAACCCTTCTTTTTCTTCAATCTAAAAACATCGATCATATAATAATTATTGCGTTCGTAATTATGTAACCAGCTTATGATATGAAGTTAATGTCAATATGTATATAGAATGTGTAAACATACAAGAAAATCAAAAGAATTCTTGAATTACTAAAGGAAAAAAAAAATATATATATATATACACACATCAATTAAATATATGTATAATGAATTTAAGTATAAATATAATATTTGTGTGGTATTCTTTTAACAATATTTTTATTAGAAAAAGGTACTAAAGCTTTATATAATAATTAATATTAGAAAAACTTTATTAAGAAAAGACTATCAAAATTAAAAAAAAATTGACTGGAAAAGTGATTTAATTTTTGAACATCAGATAATTAAAAATCTATATAGATATATACTTTTCTTCAATGTCCTTTGCCTTGTCGCGTACATCGTGTGCGCTATGTTCTTCATCAAAATACAACTTCTTCGTTTTGTCGACGTCCTGAACGCAAGTCTGCAGTTCTTTTTGTACTATTAATAATTGGTCGATTGCCTAGAAATTCAATTATTACCAAAATTTACTACAAATTTTTTTATAATATCCCTGTTATTTAAACAGGAGTTTTTTTCTCTCTAAATAATCTTCTAAAATAATCTTCCATTTACTTTTTAAATTTTATGTGTCGTGTGACTAGCATTTTTATTTTCATATATCAAATATAAAAATGTAATATAAAAAATATATTTCATTTAATTTAATAAACGATGAAACTTTTTACCTTCTTAGAGATTTGCAGTTTATGCATCCTGAGGCTCTTGGCATCATCGGCGATCTGCTGCTGGAAAACCTCAACGGCAGCGAGATGTGCGCGCGCCAGCTTCTCGTTCTCCTCCAGCACAGTTCGCCATACATTCCACATGTTCCTACAATCATTCGACCGCACGCCCGCGGATCGCCATTTACCTATGACCCTTCTTCTCTTTGGCAAACTTCCCTGATCGATAAGCAGCCGGAGATTGAAACCAGTACACTTCCGTAGAAGTCAAATTCCCGTTTCTTTTAGCACGCGAAAATGATTATTCTTACGCTTATTAAGATTAAATGAAGTAGATTTCAACTCTTTTGTTTTACATGATAACTCCATAATAATCATTAAATATATATATAAAATTAAATATATATAATCTATATATCAATTAATAATAATATATATCAATTAATTCAATTTTAATCAACAAATAATAAAACGTAGCGATTGAATTGATTTTAATAAATCTAATCTGGTTAGTTCTCTATACTATAGACGGAAAAATATTATTGTATAAAGTTGATCGTAATATAATATATTGTGTAAAATTGATCCCGTAATTATAATGTAACATGTAATGTAGAATAAAAATTTTACGAAATTATACCGGTTTTACATCCGGTCAACACTATAAGCATCTATTGTGTTAAAAAAGAAAGAGAGAAAGAGAAAGGGGGGGGGAATAAAAATAAAAAAATAAGATATAATAAATTGAAAACATTCGAAGAAATTCAAATATTAGAGGGTAACTAATAAAGGATATATGAATACTGTAAGAGATAAGAAAAATAAAAACGTAAATAATATATAAAATAGAAACTAAAATTTTGCAAAATATGCGTTAAATGTAAGCTTCTTATCTTCTGCATTTCTCGATTTTTAATTTAATTACCATTTCTCTTCGGCTCCATCGACTTTGAGATCTGGTATGTTCGGTATTTTCTTGTTTAAGTATGCGGATGATATCTTGAGCAGCGCCTGTGTAAATAGATATAATATTTTAATTACTGTTAATGTTTTTAATCATAACAATTTATAACAATTATATATTAATTAAACATAAAAACCTCATATTAATAGCAATAAATATATTATAAATTTTTATTATTTTAAAAATAAGTGCGTGCATACAAAATTTGCTTACCTCAGAGTACGATTTTTCGATGGCAGATTTTTTAATCGTAAAATTACTGAAAAACATACAGAAATCGTTATTTAATCAATTATCAAAAAATCTATTAATACAATTTTTAATTTTCTTAAATTTTCTTAAAACAAATTAAAAATAATAAACAAAGATTTGTATATGTTCAATCTCAATTTGAATTTCGAAATATAATAATTCTGTAATAATTTAATATAAGTCATAAGTTTTGTAATAACAATTTCACTAATATATATATTAATCAAAATAAATATTATACTTATAAAGAATAATATTTATAAATAACATAGTTGTTCTCTTTAATAAAAATAATAAATAAAAACTGTAAGACGCAAGATAATACCAAAATATTGTTTAATAAACATGTTTACGTAAAACATCATATGTCTTCACCGTATGTCTTCCAGAAGGTCGCATTCATGCTGATTTTTTGCTTGCAGTTTTGCCGCTTGCTCCGTATGCACATTCTTCAGAAACTTCGCGTAGTTTCCCTTGCAATCAAACAAAGAAAATCAATTAAAGAAATATAAATTAATAAAGTACATATTATCTCAAATTTTATTACAATTCTATTTTAAACTCCTTATTTATTACTTATTAATTATTTCGAACCTTTTCTAATTTATTAATCCTCTTTTTGTTTAATTAAATAATTTTCGAGATTAATTCTAATTTTCCTAAAATTACTTTGTCATCGCCCATTATCGAATATTTATACATATATGCAGAGTTCTTATAGCCTGTCTCCACCCAAGGTGCAAATTGAAAATCAATGCTAATCAATGACATAAACGGTCCATCAAATTGCAATGTATTTTGTCTCAATTTTACGCAAACAATCTTTGCACAATCTGTCTTTAAAATTATTACCAAAGAATTTTAATTTAAAACATTTTTTAAATTTATTTTAATGCAAGATATTTATAATTAAATTTATTACAGACATTTATAGTAATCTAAAATAATTTACTGTGATAATTAAGTTTATGATACATTTATATAAACTATAGTATATATCTTCGATAATACATATATAACTTGTTGCTAATAATATATATCAGCTTTTTATATTTGTATTTATGTATTTATATAATTTATCTCTCTCTCTCTTTATTTATATTTTATTTATATTTTATTATAATATAATCTTTTTCAGAAATATATTATCGAAATCTTTTCTACACGATCGATAAAAATTAGTTCTATGTCAATTTAATAATTAAATATAAATTATATATGTCACCATCCAAAATGTATAAATATAGATTGCTTGCGAGATTTCGATAGGAGTGTTAACAGTAATTACATTGAACGTGCATTCTTTCGTGATGTTTTTGCTTTTTCCCTTCATTAACTCTTCCTTCCAACTATCGATTAAGACTGATTATTCTGTACAATTGAAATTCTACTGATATGAGAAAATTTGTAATATAAAATTTTACATTATTATTATTATTATAATATTATGATGTTATTACATATGACTATGTATTTTATTATCAATTATGATAATAAAATTAGTATCAGACAAATCAATATAATTATTATTAAAAAATTATATTGCACAATATAAAATATTTTAATTTAATTTCAAGAGATAACAAAGGAATGAATCTTATGTATGTGTGAATTGAATATATATGTTACTGTGCTACGATTATTGTGGTATAGATGTACTCTGTATATAGATATACTCTTGTATATCATTCACATTATTAATTGACATATAAAATACATTGTCGATTGAATTTGATATCATTTTATTGTTCCATAAAGAGACTAAAATTGACGTAATAATCTTTTAAAGTCATCTATTGTCTGTGTTATCGGTATGAGGAAATAATCTTTACTTTTTGACACTCGGTGTATAAAATCGATTTTCCTATAATACGGGAAAATGACTCTTGTGTTTCAGACACACTTTGCTCGGTGTAAAGACGCTTTTCCCGTCGCACGGGAAATTGATTATCGAAAGGCACCGGGCTCGTAAAATCATCCCTGTTTATCTGAGATAGGTTCTTGAGTACGCAATGACTTCCTCCTTACTTTTCTCGGCGGTGGTTGCATGCTGAGGCGAGTTTTTCCCGCAACGCCGGGGGAGTAGGAGGAGGGAGGAGAGGGGCAATTTCGCTCTCACTCGCCCTCGCTCGCTCACGGCTCACCCTCTATGCGCACACACCCCACGCACGCACGCACCCTCGTCGTGCACCGCTCGCACGCTCGTACGCTACTGATCTCCTGCCCTCCTGAGGCCACCGCCGGGGGTAGTTCGTCGCTTATTGATCGTCCGACTCCCTCTTTCTCTCCCGATGACGCCTGCGCCGCCCCCGGGTCGGCGAACGACTTCCTTTCCGACGACCTACTAAGCCTCGTCAAGAGAAGGAATTGAAGGGTGGGGATAAATGAGGAGTTAATTGCAGGTCCTCGTGGTGATTTTTTAGTCACTGCGATTAGTGATTTCACACTCTTTGTGATATTTAAGGATATTTTTCAAAGGCCAAAGGGTGATGGCACTCACGCAAAGACTTGAGGCTTCAAGATTAAGATTTAATTTTTTGATGAATACGAATGGATAGCTTCAAAATGCTATTATAATTTTTCTTGTACTATTTTGCATAATGCTTTTAATTTGTTTTTTTTTCAGAAAAATAATATTGTCTGAAATTATTAAAATTCGATATAATGTAAAAAAAGTGCAAATAAATTCCGTATTTAAAAAATGTATATATATACTGAGAACAGTTTTATATAAATTCTATCCGTATTAAAAATGAATTTAAAATTTTTAATTCTGTGAATTTTCAACTTCTTTTTACTTCTAAATGAGATTATGAAAAGGGATTTCTAATTATATAGAAAGCAATAATAAATATTTGCACTTAGACATATTTCTTTGGAAATTGCTGGAAAATCATTAATCAGAATGTTTTTTTAATAAATGAAAAAAATAGATCACGAGTACCTACAATTAAACTAAAGAGTTCATATAAATATATATAAAAATATTGTTTAGTTTCAAAGTTATTTTGAAAACTTCACACATGCTCTTATCTTATATAATTTATATATAATAATATACTCAAAATAATTACCATATATATTTACAAGTTCGTAGATGCACTGTTATCGGGTTGTCTCACTTTTTCAAAAATACGAGGCGTGTTCCAAATTTACTGACATGTTTCTGTTATCAGTGGATTATTAAAACATGATATTTTTAGAACTGTCCCACATCACTGTAACTCCAATTCTAGGGTTTTCGTTCAGAAGCTTAAACATTTCACAGAACAATATAGAAAGAAATATAAAATCATTATAAATCATTGTAAATTTAACTCTGTAAGTCCTATTTATAAATATTTGCATAAAATCTGTTACAAATGTAGAAAATATCAACATAGCTGTTCGAGAAAATTAAGCGATATGGCTATATGTTTTACGAAGATTGTTTAGTTTTAAAATCTCTAGTTCATTTTTAAAATATTTCCATCGTTAGGACCTAGCTTAGTCATAAAATCGTAATAAAAATAGTAAGTTTTTGAAGGAGTAAAAAGACAATAATTTATTTATTGACAAATCGTATTCAACTTTATTATAATGGTATAAAATGGGAAAGGTAGTGAAAACGGGCTAGTAGTAGAAGATGCAATAATAATACATCGATATATCGTACTTGAGTAATACAAGAAGATCGTAAATCTAAACATTTTATATATTATAAAATTGCAAAACCCGCAAGGAAGAAGAAAAGGAAACAACACCAGTCTGCACCTTTAAATTAATGTGTAAACGTAATCTAGAAGAGCTATATCACAAGAGAGAGACAGAGATGCTAGACGAAAAAAAATCTATCTTTAATTTTAATGAGTCTTTTTTTAAACATCGTTATATATACTCCGAAAATCCATGTATAACAGATGAAGAAGAAACGATAAATCCATATTATTCATATCATCAATTAAAAAAACAATTCCTTTTTCTATTACAATAAATCTTTTTTTTTCATTAGAATTGTGCAAATCTTAAACAAGAAAATTTGAAAGTAAAAGCAGTACATTAATTCATGAAGATTGCAATGTATGCTAACTTTTTTCAATATTAATAAATTTGCTCAACAATAGAGTCATATATTGAAATCATCAAAGGCTCAAAAATAGTGAAAAAAAAAGAATAAAATTAAAAAAAAAATACAATCTTATTTGCCACAAAGTGAATAATCAAACTTACTTCCTCTTTTGATTTAAATGACTTTTTTATATTGAAATATGGATTCTGATATATTAGAAAGATAAAAATTACCTCAATAAATTATTTTCTTCAAATATCAAGATACTTGTTTCACAATCCAATGTATTCCAAAATCTTCAGAACTCAATGCACTTTAATTTTTAGAGTCCAATGTGATTCTGCGATATTCAATGTCTTTAAAACCGGCAGAATCGTACATCTCTTCAAGGTCATCTTCTTCAAATCAAGTTTCTCTTAAAGAGTCTTCTTTTCAAAATTGTCTTTATGGCCTTTTGTAAGCATCTTTTCAATCTTGTTTGGAGATCTCTCCTCAACCATAAAGCTTTTTATTAAAATTTCTTCAGGATCTTCTTTAAGATTCCTATATTTTATTTTAATCTATTTCTACTTTTCACGGTAGTTCGTCAGACGGTAGCGCCAAGTCTTGATCACCAGATCCCATAGGTCCGTCCACATCAGCATCCGAACCCATAGGTAGTCCAACCACTTCAGGTTGAGGAACTGGTCCTTCAGCAACCTGAAGAAGCATAGGATTTCCAGCGGCGTCCAAAACGGGATCGGCCGTGGCTTCAGCGAGATTTGTTACTGACTTTGACTTAACACATTGAAAATCGACATGACGGCTTTTGGCTTCTTCTTTCTCCCAAGACATATGAATGAAGGGTCGCTGAACGTAGTTGTAAATGACTTCGGCGCGACCACCGGCGCGTTTCTTCACCTTTTCTTTATAGGTTGGATAGCCCTCGATGCCTAGACGAATTTTTTTCAAACCACGTTCTTTCATCACTTGCTTGGCCACGTCTCGATTCTCGATGTACTTAAAGAAGCGATACATCGCTGTACTGTTGACAGCTAAAGATAAAAAGATAAAAAGAAATTATATATGTGTATAAAGTTTGTAATATGTGAGATTTAATAGATTTGTCTAGAAAAAAACTAGAGAACAGAAAAAGAAAGAAAGACAACATCAATAAATTTATAAAAATGCAACAAATTAATTTTAATATTCAAATAATGACTATTATGTTTGTTAAAATGTTTGTGTTATTAGTTAGATTATACATAAATGTTTTAGTCCTAAGTGTTTTACTTCCTAAGTGTGCAGCGTTAAATATGGAACATATTATAGGATCGTATTAATATAGCAAGTTAGCTTAAGCTTCATTATTGAAGAAAATAAGTGGAACTAATAAAGACTAGGTATTTTCAAAGGCCAAGTTAATCGATTTTTCATTAAACACAGAGTGATTATGATAACAAGCAAGGTTAACGCATGTTGTATTTTATAACTTAAAAAAGATTGCGCATGTTTTCTTAAATCTTCTGAAGGCGACTCATAGTGTTACGCGAGTTTTTTTACAAAAGTATGAAAACAACCAAATAAAATTTTCTCGCAAAATGATAAATCTATTTTAAATAAGACACTGATAGTATAGTGAATTTTCACCTTTGTTATAAGTAAAATTTTCCGACAAAGAAGTACGTATTACAAATCTGATATATAATATCAAAAATTATTATATTATGAATAAAACAATTATGCTTTTAATTATCAATAACAAGATTTCGACATACTTCGATTGATTAATAATTCGAAATTTTATCTGTTTTTACAGCAGAGTATATAGTCAATCTATCTATATGTGTAAAATATCTCAAGACATTTAAAAAATGTTATTTATTTACTTTGGGAATATTCTTCACCCATTTGGGGAGGATATTCTTCGTCCCAATCGACTACGTCATCCTCGAGCAGGACGACAATATGGCATTCGCGATCACCACGTCGCGCACTATTCACCATTAACGGCAAAATCAGATCCTCTAAAAATACTTCGAATTGGCAACGTGCACCCTCATTCGACAACTCGTGTAACAATCCTCCTGTAATAATAATACAATAAATGTAACATATACATGTAACAATACGCATTTTTAATTAAAAAAATTTACAAGCAAGATAAACCATTTTTTGCTCGTTTAATGTTCCTTCTGTTTCAGCTCTTTGCAATGCATTGCTTAATTCAATCTGAATTGATTCAACTTTAATTAAGCTATTAATTTGATATGAAAGACATTTTTATTTATTTGTAATATTAATTAATATTTACATTTCTATTTTTATTTTTTATTGTTTTATATATTTTATATTAATAATTTTTATATAATAAAAATGCACAATTTTACATAAAATCATTCTTATAAAATGTTCTTAGTTTGTATGAAATTAATGACATTATAAATTATTTATAACACTTACTAAGATTTTGGCACTTCACCGTGCTAGCATCAAAAGGTACCAGCAGATAATCGCAGGCTTCTCGTAGTTCTTGAACACTTACAGTTGGGGGACATCGAATTACTCCGCCCTTATAATACTCTAAGATAGCGCGAAAAACCATAGCAGAAATGCCATCGGCGACCTCGTATTCACCACGTTCATTAGGCTGTGCATATTCTACCCCTGAGCTGAACATGCGACCTAACATTGTATTGGGCTGCGCCGTGAACAAAGCTGGGTCAACAATAAATCTGAAATAATAAATAAAACAGATTAACTAGATTTAATAAAGAAAAACAATTAATTAATAAATCAAACAAAAGACAAAAAATAAATAAAGCAGTGCCCTTTATTTCATATAGGTATATAATGTTATAATGCGCACATAAATATAAGGCAATAGAGAAGATTTAGATTTAACTATTAATAAAATAAAAAAAAAAATAAAAAAAAACGTTAATATTACATATTTAAGTAATATATTGTGTAAAACTTTAATATTTAATTAATAAAAAGTGTATATTATTTTAATATAAACTTTATTAATTTGCTATTGTAATATAAATCCTATTGTACCTAGTGTTATCGACAATGAGAGTGATTCTTTCGTCGCTGGTTGGCTGATTGCTAACTCCGGTAGTAGATCCTAAGATAGCTCCTGATCCTCCTGATATTGCGTTGTCCCTGCTGCTGCTTTGATTCTGACTCTGATTCTGTTTGGTGATGCCAATATTCGTGCGAATCCTGGGGATAAGATTAATTATCTCCCTTAGGGAGAATATGCAGCGCAACATACTCCTTTCCATGTGTATATATCATGTAAGAAACTATCGCTGTAAATACATAAACTAACGCGATTCCCGAGACCTACCTTGCAACTTGCGAAGCCCAGTCGCGTGATTTTGAGATATTGCATATTATTAGAGAAAAGAAAAATAATTTTTCCAAATAAATACAGTTAGAAAATTATTTTCAATCTATTTAATTGAAATAAATGTTCATAATTTTATATATTCCTAATTTAAATAAAATAACAAGAATTAAATAAAATATAAGTCAAGTATAATAAAAGTATAATAAAGGTATAAGTAAATGTATAATAAAAAAAAGGATAAAAATTATTATAGTACTAGAAACAGATAAAAAATATATGTAAAAAGATTTATATTCTTTTCAAACTATTATAGAAGCTATATTTTTCTAAAAATAAATAAATGACTTTATTGTTTGCATCTAACATTTCTTAAAATAAATATTTATTTCCACTATCGATTTTTGTTTAAAATAAAAATGTATTGTTTTTGTCGATATTACAAAATATAAAATATACAAAAAAATAAAAATATAATATATTAATAATTATCAATGCCATATGTAATTACATATATAAGAGGGAGACCATTTGTTAAAAATATTATAATATATATCTCATATCCATGTTCTTTCAAAATCTTTTAAAAATTTATAGAAAAAAAATTATTTATTAAAAACAGTTCTAAAGAATAAAGTCTTTTGATATAACTCTTGGTACATAATGATATAGTTAAAAAAAGGTAGTTAATGAATAGATAATTAACAAAAATTATAAATATTGTCATAGAATACTGTTACACATTTCTTCTCTTGTTATTTTCAGTTTTATTCAAAATTTTTTTAGAAGGCCGTGAAAAGTTAAAAAAGAATAAATAGAGAAAACTTTATAAGAATTTCCTGCTTTCATCTGTTACGTGCATTTACCTGTTATGTTGATTTGTGAAATTTGTGCTCTGCGAATTTCTGCCGGAATTGAAAGAATGACAATGTCGATCACCGCTGCCATCCCTCTGTACCAGACAAGATTTCGGCTTCGACGAGCCACCACAACTATACATGCACAGAACAACCACGTAATCTTATACTAATCAGCTACTACGACAAGCAACTATAACATCTCTACTATAGTAATTATTCCGCGAATTTCAGAATGTTCGATATGTGAATATTTTTTAGTACAATTTTGTTAAAATCAAATTTTCATAATACAAGAAAATGATTTAAGACCTTTTTGCGCATGCTAATAGCGAAAGAATTGAATTTTAATCCTATTTATACTTTTTAAAGATTGATTCAGTAAAATTCAAATTTCCATGTTATTAACACACCAAAATTGCATTTTATGAAACATTATATCAGTTTCAGTCAAAGTGCAACTGCACAAGGAATGTACGCTTCAAAAAGATTGTATTATCAGTTATTATCTTATATGAATGTGTATGTATATATAAGCAATTTCTATTTTTGCTATATACTTTAAAATTTACGACATAAGAGTAATTTTATAAATTTCTCCAATTTTTTCTAATATATTATATATACAAAACATGTAAGAAATTTTATCTTTACTTATTTTTTCATATATGGGGTAAAGATAACAAATCTTGAGCAATAATTAAATATTCATAAATATAAACTATTATAACTAATATCAGTGCAATTTAAGAAAATGCATAATATAGCATGGAAATTGTATATAAACATGTCATCATGTAATATATGTAAATTACAGTATATTATAGACGTATAAATACAATATTCCTATAAATGCATATAATATTTAAAAAAAGCAAAGTACATTGAATATTATAAATACAATTTGTATATTATGCATTTTCTATAATTCAGAATATCGCATAAATGTAATTAATTTTTTTGCCAATTAATAGAACAATGTGTGTAAGTTTACATAAATTCAAAATAATATGTGCATGCGTGTAACGAAGATTTGTAAGGGCAAACCTAATCTAAGTGCATGCTGAAAGATCTAAGATGTTGTAAGAAATTAGAGCAAGACGTTATATATTTTCGTTCAAATAGCACAGTGCAATTTAACTTATCTGCAAAATGTTAACTCCTTGAATATTAATAGTAATATTGCAGTTGAAACGATTTTGCTAAATATGTTGCTGAATCTATATAAAAATTACTCCACAGGCATTTTTTCGCATCGTCGAATCCAAAACGGAGATTAAAGATTCGGAATTTAAAGGTAATCTTTACCTCAGTCTATTTTTGTACAAACGATGCCTTCCTCTTCCATCAGTCTCTTTGTAATCAGTCTCTGTATCACTACTGCTGTCTTGCATATAATTGACTCGCTCTGACGGGTTCGACATGTTAAACCACCTGATAAAAGTCGAAAATATGTTCACTTGATAATTTGCTAAAGAACAAACTTAATATTAGCGTTAAATCTTGTTACAATAGAAAAATAACCTAACAAAATATCATTTCTGACAATTTATTATTTTATCATTTTTATATTTTATTATATACAAGTAATAATATGTAATATCAAATTTTGTAAAGTGACAGAAAAATATATATGCCACGTGTTAATAGAGATAACATTTATATATCTATCGTTTCTAATAAGCCTTTGAACTTTCGACACTTTTCTCTCCGGGTCTGTCTTTCCCTCTTTCGAGGTTAATCTCGTCGTTTTCGTTAAATGCGAATAATATTTTGTACAATATTAAATGATGATGATATTTACGAGCTCGAGATCGATAAGAACCAACTGAGCCGCTTCAAAAGCTTCTTCGTGGACTCACAGATCTCCAGATCGTACGAATCAGCACGAATACAATTTAGTCTGACAATGACAGCTCTTCGATCGACGAACTCGAACGCATGACTGCGTACAATCACGTCATCATATGCACGAAGTACGAAACAATACGAACATTGACGGAGATACACGAAGTGCGCGATGAATGGAACTATATGACATGTCAGTGATTCTCAAACATAAACTTCGATGCGAATTCTCGATTCTATAGCACAGGTGTAGAGGGATGATTTTACCCCACCCTCTAAACCGTGGCTGGTACCAACGTAACGGGGGGATGATTATTGACGTCCGATAAACGTGGCAAGGAACTCGTATCGCTGAAAGAAAATGGGATTGTTCGATCGTTTAGCGAATCTCCTCGGTCTTAGGAAAAAAGAAGTAAACGTTTTAGTAGTGGGCCTTAATAACAGTGGTAAGTCGACGGTCATAAATAATTTCAAACGCGAGGACGACCGTTGCATAGACATAGTGCCCACTGTCGGGTTTAATGTCGAGAAATTCGCATGTAAGTTAAATAACAAAGAGCGATAGAGTGCCCAAGATGTGAAATTAAATTGCTTTTAGTGCTATCGCATATTTATTGCACCAGCATAATCTCAAATCCACATAGCACTCTATTTATTTGTGTACACAATAAAATACCAAATTAAAAAAAAAAGAAACAATGTGGTTAGAAATAATTATAAATAATGATTATATAAATACTTCAAAGAATGAACAAAAATATATAATAGTTTCTTACCACAAGATATACGTTTTGTTATTTTTCACACATAATTCTACACTCATTTTCTCATATTTTTGTTTTTCATATTCCTCATACGTCGTTGATCTGTCTTCACAGTTCGTGACGATGATCTAATTGCTTCAATAGTACCTTGTGATAACTTTGGTGCTTTCTTTTTTACAATCTTATTTGTTAGACGACTACCTTTAGATTTTTTCAATTTATCTATAGTTGGTTTCAGTATTTCAATATTTGTGATGTTTCCCATTTCTGAACTAGACGATGAGGATACTTTTTTATTTCTGATTGTATCAGGTAACGGAGTGCTAGTGCCTAGCGGAGTTATCTTCAGTTTCTTTTTGACAAGTTCATCATGTAGTTTTGAATCAAAATTTGCATCCTTAGAATTGTTTGTAGGCTGATTGGTATGAAAATTCAATTTCGTCTGTTTTAATCTAATTTTAGGTTTATACAATGGTGTCGTTTCTTCTGGAAGGTTTCTAAAAACTTTTTGTTTTGAAGTGGATGGAAGCTTCTCTGTTTCGTTTTCTTTCAAAATTTGCCGTGAACTTTTAGTGCTTGTCACTTGTGTATAACTATCTTCCTCATTATTGTTCGATAATTCAATATTTTTTGAAGTATTCTTCCGTTTTTTTCTTTCATTCCTCTTCTGCCGTTCATGTTTTCTCTTGCGTTTTCTCAGTAACTTGTTTCGATTTAATTGTAAGTCTACTACAAAATCTTCTGTAGAATCACTAGTGTCCTAAAAAAAAAATGATAAGTATATTTTAATCGTATAAAAATTGTTTTCATTTAATCTTATATTTATTAAATGCTGTACATTCAATTCTAGTGGACTATCACTGTCATCTGTCCGCAGCCACGTAAATGCAGAATCCTCTGTTAAAATCTTTTCAAATGCTGTTTGTAAATCTAATATCTTGAACTCTTTTAGACATATTTTTAATTGTCGTCTTAAATCATCATTTAACTTCTTTTCTTCCATTGTATCGATATTAATTTTATATGGTCTTGCTATATGAGAATGATATAGTAAATATATTACTAAGTTCATATATTTATCATTTTCTTTGTCATGTATACCATACAATTCTAAACTAATTTGCGTATATGCCATGTTAGAGTGCAGAGAACAATGTTTCATATGTAAAGTATATTCCTAAAACAGACATTATTCATTATTTGTTAGTATATTGCATATAACTTGAAAATAATTTTATACTATTCATTTTTATGACATATAAATACATACTTTTAATGACAGGAACTGGTCTTGTCGAGCAACGTAACAGTCAATATTGTGTTGACAACTCTTTAGAAAAGGACCTATATTTTTTGTTTTGTCAATGGGTATTTTAGACAGCATGTCATTCACATCGAACGACATTGGCATTACCCATTTTCCCAGCTCGCCTTTTCCATTCTTTATGAAAATCTGTATCGCATAAGTGTCGTTTTTCTGATACTTGCTCGTTGGTTTAAAGTTGAATACGATCTCATCCCTTCGGAATTTAGCGCAATGAAAACCGGCGAAATTATACAACTCATTTTGCAAATCAACTTCGACATTCGGTATTCTTCTTGAATGTGGAAGAATCTTCAAGTTTGGCGATTCTGTCAAATGTTCTTCCACGTCTCCGAAACATATTGTGTTCAGTTTTTGTTCGCATTGTTCGATTAAGCATTCCAGACTCTTTATTTCTTGACGCAGCTTTTTCTTTTCTGTGTCTAAAAATTTTAAAAATTGGAAAATTATTCCTTCGTCGTCTGAATAGGGTTAGGATATTTGACAATTTGTCTACCTTCATCAATCTGCTCGATATTCGTGTCATTATTACTGGAAGTACTGGCCGTTTCCATCTTCTTATTTTACATCACTCGCATATCATTTGCAATAATAACAAAACTAAACAACTTTAAAAAAAACTCGCGCCAAAAGACAATCGATGCATTCAATACTGCAACCGGTTGTTGTGCAATTCACGAGCGATTATTCGTGATTGGTGTATCATCCTACGTATATCCAGAATACAAAAGTATGCACCAATCGCGAGTAGCTATTTAAGGAGCAAGTGTAGCACTGAGTGCACCCTCAAGTGATGGTTCTCAAATATTTTTATCTTGGGTTATTGAAGAATTATAAATTTATTTAAAAAATTCAAGACGATATTTATTTGTTACATATTTTTATGCAAATTATATTTTTTATTCGTCTAATAATGAATCATATTTGACAAGACTTTAATTAAAATTGCATTGTCAGAGAGACTATTTTATTGAATGTCATGAAAAGTGATTTTTTAAAAAGAAAAATTATTCAGAAATTCTCTTTCCGATCAAACTGTATATTAAAACAAGAATCAAATATGTTATAAAAAAAAGTTTTGATGAATTTATATATATATATATATATATATATATATGTGTGTGTGTGTATATACGTTTTTGATATATAATTTTTTATTCGTTTCTATATTTGACAAGTATATATAATAAGACCTTATTTAATTAAAATTGCTTTATTAGAGAGATTGTATATATTATTAAATGTCATAAAAAATTATTTTTTTAAAAAGAAAAATTATTCAGAAATTCTTTCCGATCAAACTGCATATTGAAACAATAAGAATTAAAATGTTATAAAAAGTTTTCATAAACTTTTTATATGTATAATGTATACATACTTGCTTTTACTGGGATATATAATAAATCGAAGTCGTTTATTGTTTCAGTCAAGAATGTCAATTTCACCGCATTTGATATGTCAGGCCACGATCGTCATCGATCATTGTGGGAGCATTATTATAAAGATTGCCACGGGATTATCTTTATAATTGACAGTAGCGATAAGCTCCGACTGGTTGTCGTGAAAGAAGAATTGGACATGCTCTTGCAACATCCCGATGTAGCAGGTATGTTACATCTTTTCTCTCATTTGCATATAGAAGCCCTTGTAATAAAAAAATAATTAATATATCAAAAAATTATTTAAATAATAAAAAATGAGAAGGAAGAGACACGCACATCTTTCTTATATAATAACAAAATTCTTGAAATTCGAGATGCAACAATATATAATAATTAATAAACGATTTAGGGCCGGTATTCACAGTTGCTTCTTATATTTAAGATCGTCTTAGACCTCGGTCAGCCAATCAAATGGCCGCATAACATCTCCTGATTGATTGAACGAAGTCTTAAGACGATCTTAAATATAAGAACGGACTATGAATACCGCCCTGCTAGATGAATGCACGAAACAGATGTGTGAAACATTTTAGGTCGCAAAATACCCATCCTTTTTTTGGCAAACAAAATGGATTTACCTGACTCCTTGACTACCGTGAAGCTGGTCGCTGGATTGGGACTCGAGCGAATACAGAATAAACCCTGGCATATACGAGCGACAAACGCGATAACCGGCGAAGGTTTGCAGCCGGCAATCGAGTGGCTGACAGATCAAATTCGTGATATATACATTAACAAGAGATAAAACGCGCCGACATCGGATGGAAAACGCGATTGGTTTGATTTTTTTTTCTCTTTTGACAAAATGTGTCGGATCGACATTAGTGCCTGTATATGTCATTTAAAATATGTTACGGAATTCTTCGTATTTTTGTATTTGAAGAGTGTTTCATTTGGCGCTACTAAAAATGTTTATGGAATCAACAGTCATGATTCACGAATGTACCTAGACGCGACATGTCAGACTCGAAAGTACCTATCTTAATTCAAACGTGAGGGCACTCTTGACGTCGAGTGAAACGTCAGTCGTCCATTCGAAATCCGGTGTAATCGGGTGTAATAGCGTAAAGAAATTCTCGGTACAAAGTTCTCATAAGTTTCTATCGAAAAGAAAGTGTATTCTTCGCGTTGAATATTGCTATAATCGAGGTAAAAAATGTATAATTAGGAAGCATCGCCGCAAGCTCAATTTAATTCCGTCCAAAAGTAGGCGTACATAGCTGAACATATGTAAGTGTATATAAAATTATTATTTTTTAATATAATTGCGGCCCAATTTTCCGCACTGTAACGATAGAGCATCGTATAATGCTCTGCAGAGAAATATTTCATCGTAATATTTAAACTATTCAGTTTCAATAAACATTTGAATTGAAGATTTCGTCGTTCTTTGTTATAGGGCAATGCATATTTATTTATTCGTATATATGTATATTATATAGCGATAAGAAAAATATTAGATATATAGAACTACGACATATACAAAAATATAAAAAACGAGCAATGAAAATTGAAATAATCGATTTGAAGTTATACGTTCTCGTAAGATGTCGCCACCAATCCATTGAAATTTCGCGCCTCTGGAAATATATTTTATGACCTTTTACTATTTACGTCACTCGTGTAGTGATGTAGCGAGGTATTGTATCGACCGAGCTGTAGCGTTTAACAGGTGGACTCCTTATCATAGTTTTGATAAGGGTCCTTTGAAATGGTGAAAATGTCGGGAAAACGCTCGTTAACGTATTATTTCGCATTTGCGGTTTTCTTCAAGCTCACATATTGTTACGAGACAGAGAAATATTCGCTGTACATGCCGAACGTGAGACCAAATACGGTAAGTAACAGTACCGTAATTTTTTCTTAATCTTTAGAGGACGGGACTGGTCCCTTTAGGGACCATCTATTTGATCGGAGATTTGTCCTTAGTTATACATTTGATTTATATATAAATTACACGTTTTAAAAGAGGTCGATTTGCACTGAAAATTTTCCGTCCTCTAAAGGTTAAGGAGAAAAACAAGTGTGTCTAATCTTTAATTATTACATACGATTCCTTCGATGTACAAAAAAGTAACATAGAATATTTAAATGTATTTTCTTAAATATACGTTAATATATTTTGTATCGTGTTAAATTTATTTCTATAAATTGTATATTAGTTGTATATTGATGAAGAATAAGTTTCTAATTGTATTAATTTCTATATTTTATTGATGGGCTAATGCATTAAATAACTTTTATGGGATAGAAATTATCTGATATATTCTGTTTTTTAGCCTGAACTATATCTATGCACTCCAGTACGAATAGATTTTACCAAAAACTATTATATTACTGGTTTTGAGCCAAATGCGACAATGCAAACAGCTCATCATATACTAATTTACGGATGCAGCAAACCAGGTAGTGCAAAGCCAGTTTGGAATTGCGGAGAAATGATGAATACTGCAGATATACGAGATACAGCGTCTCCTTGTAAAGAAGGGACACAAGTAATAACAATTAATAAAGTAATGTAATGTATCTTATATATCTTATAGATATATTAAAAAAAGATAAATTTTTTATTTAAACAGATTATCTATGCATGGGGAAGAGATGCTCCAGAATTAGATCTACCATATGAGGTGGGCTTTAAAGTAGGCGGTGACTCTCCCATACAATATATTGTTCTACAAGTGCATTACGCACACATTGATCATTTCAAGGATGGCAGAACAGATAACTCAGGTGTAATTTTACATTATACAACATATCCATTGAACAAATTGGCTGGTGTTATTCTGTTAGGAACAGGTGGCATTATACAACCTAGGGAAGTAGTACATATGGAAACTTCTTGTCGTATAACAGAGAATAAGACTATTTATCCATTTGCATATAGAACACATACTCATTCACTAGGAAAAGTGGTCTCTGGTTATGTAGTAAAAAAAAATAATCGTGGATTGAATAAGTGGATCGAACTTGGGAAGAGAGATCCATTAACTCCTCAAATGTTTTATCCTGTTACTAACAAAATTGCAATTACGTTCGGTGATATACTGGCAGCTCGTTGTACAATGGAAAATACACGTGACAGACCCACTTATATAGGTTTAACGAATGAAGATGAGATGTGTAATATGTATATTATGTATTATGTTGAGAATGATAGCCCGTTAAAGCAGAAGTATTGTTTTTCTCAAGGGCCACCTTTATATTATTGGAACCAAGAGTTAACTAATATTCCTGACAATGAGGCATCTATATTGTAATATTCCAATCGATTGATATTGATTATTTTGATAGATTGACATAATAGATCAATTTTATTTTATTATGTAAAATTAGGAAAAATTCCAACGTTTCCATAGACTGTATATTTAGATGCATTTAATTCAGTGAGATAGATTGATGTTTGGGGATCAAGCCGTCCTAATTTAATTTACAATCGATTTTTTGTTAATTACATTTATTGATACACTCTTGATAAACTTTAAATATAAATTTAGTATTAGTTTATTTTATAGAGCAACGTTTTCTTAAACTTGGAATGGTTTATATAATTTTTAAAATTGTTCAGAGGATATAAGATTTTAACAAGTTATTATTATTGATTTTTAAGATAAACAAATTTAATTTAAATGGATAAAAATGAAATATTGTTGGAAAATAATTTATTTAATTATTAATTATTAAAATAAATTATAATAATTACGCACAAATTATGCAAAATTAATCTAATTTTTATACTTTTCAAGTGATTATAATTGAGAATACTGCGATCAGAGGTACATTGTACTTATTTTACATGTGAGTCATTTTTAAAAGATATTAATTTGTAATAGTTTATAATATATATTTCTTCTCAGTTTTAATAATAATGACATAAGTTAACATTTACAAACATGCATTTACATACATTGACAATTTTTATAAATATGCATCTGTTTGAATTGCTATTGCAATTTATGTTGCAAGTTGTCGACCGGTTGTACACAATATGTATAATTTTTTGACAAAAATTAGTCTATGTTAATTAGTAGTCTATTTTGGCTTACGGTTTAATTAATAATTGTATTATAATGTATGTATGTGTGTGTGTATATGTACTGAACCACTATGCAGATGTGATATAAAGAGTTAATGCTAAACTTAGGCCTAGTTTTTCAGTTAATATTTATGATTAATTTACGATTATACGTAATTTGAAAAGTTATTGAAGATATATACGTATATGTATATATATATATATATATATATATATATATATACTTTTATTTTAATAGTCAATTCATTGAATATAACGGTATGAGAATTTAAAATACTTGACAGTTATATACACATGATATAATTTAAATAATTCTGAAATATATATTATTGGCAGAAAGATGCATTTTTATAATTTTCTTTTTATTTATTTCTTGTAGAATATATTTCAAACAAATTTTTAGAATGATTATAAACAAATATAATCGTTCATTAATTGATAATATTTTTAATTATTATTAAAATTATTAATAATTAAAAATATTAATGAATTAGTTTTATGCAGAAAAAGAATGTACTCGAATGATCGATACATTAGTTGTTAGCTTTATTTTAGGAGTAAAATTATATTTAAAACTAAGATCAAGATGTCGTTATTATAATGATTGTATTGAAGCACAGAACTTCAATGAATCTCAAACAGTTTATAATTATAATCAGTATGGTTAATAATTTGAAGAGGATTATTTTAGATAGGACGTATCTCCCGAAGCGAGATGTCAATGTAAAATCGATGAGAGTATTACTTCCAAAAATATAACGAGAGATAAGTCTTTCTCTCAATTTTCAAGTCTTCTCTAAACACTGTATGTACAATATATATGTATACAATCGCTCAGGAATTTCTACCTGACTTCTGAAAAACTGCATTTAAATGAAAAATGTAGATCTGTTTTCCCCGTACCAGCGTATTTTTCGCGAGACCATTGATGGATATTTATTTTCGAACATGTATAAGCGCACGGTCGTCGCTGAAAATCTAATTATTATAAGCATTTATGGATTTCAATAAACGACTTATGCAAAAAGCTTGTCTTTTTGTTTCACGCTGTTTGCAATAACGCAGCGAATACATTTCCAGAGGATACGGTTTCAAAGAAGCATGTTACTTTCTCTCGTGATGCACTCTCGTAATTGCAATATATTTGTGTGTACACTAGTGTACATAATACGTACAATACGTCATATCACGTATAGTTCATATCACGTTAATAACGTTCTCTTGGTTGCTGTGCATACATAGAATTGGCAGCCTTTGATTTGTACATTCTAATAAATTATATTGCAGCGTTACTCTCTCCATCGCGCAATGTACATTCGGTTTGATGTATTCTGTTTTCTTTCGGTATTTTATTTTTATATACATCCTCCCAAATCTGTGAAATTGGCACCCCAAAATGCGAATTTTTACAAAATTGATGTGGTATTCGATTGTCCATAATTTCGTCCACATTTGTCCTTAGATAATCGTTTTTTATCCATCTTCCAAAAAAAATTTGAATAAATTTTATTATGAACACCCCTAGATGGGATTATCTCTGGACAAATGTGGATGTGGACAAATTGTGGACTATCAAATGTCATCAATTTGATAAAAATTTGCATTTTGGGGTGCCAACTTCACAGACCACATCCTTTCTTCCTATAGAAATTCTGCTGCTTAAAATTAATTCTTACTACATACGGGATAATCTATGTCACACGATGCATTATTTTTCCCTTTTGCTTAAAGTAACTTATAATATTAATCGCGAACTTTATCATTTTGTTCCGCGTTGGCATGGATTGCATATCATGGCAGAAAAAAAGACATCAGATTAATAGGTGTGCAGACTCGGCGGCTCTAAACAGAGGATCGTGAAAACGAGTTATGGACTTTGGCGACTTAAATTAAGTACGGACGTTCGCTACAACGTAATTCGCGCGGTTCCATTAAACTTAAAAGGTGCATCAAGAGAAAGGTAATCTCATCGAGGTCTTTAGCGCCGCGATAAAGCACGTCTCGCGCAACTTTACGTTGGATTTATCGTGCGCGCTTTCTATATACGATCGTCTGGTTTCTCGTATATTTTTTTCCGAAGCATCCCGTTATCAATCGATCGATGAAAAGCTGACGAGTCAATGCAATGAATTCGATTGAATGGTGCTGGGCCGTGTTGTTACGTCTAACGTCTATTAATGCAGACAGATCGAGATGGTGAATTAGCTGACCTTCAATCAACCGTTACACCGATCGTATTTGCCGACCACGAAATTACATTTGTAAAGTTCGACGAGAGAGTATTGGACCCACGAGAAGTCGGGCTATTTATAAGCGATAGATGGTATGTTTAAAGCGACAAGCGAAATTAATTATAGCTCAAGTGGAGCTATGGAAATTGACTAATCGATTATCTTTTAGTTAGTCTTATAAGCCTTTTGCCGCCTTATACGTATCACGATGTGAGATGTGTTAGCAATATATATTCTTTTTTATTGTACAGTGCATAATTAAAATAATTGGATAAACTTTGCGGCTGTGCTCTTAACATTTTTGAGTCGACTTTTTTCCGTAGGAAATTAATAAAGATGTCAGTAATTTTATAGTTTTAGCAAATTGAGAACAAAAGTTTCTCTTTTCCCGAGTGATTTACTATAAAGGTAAAAATAAATATTAAGTTTATAATTATATTAAAATTTTATTTTATAATTTGTTTTAATAGAAATTAAGTTAATTGATATGTTTAATATTATGTTTTTAAGTTAATTGATACATATGATATTAAATGAAAATTAAAAGGATTATGAGAAGTACTGACAATTAAATTTTTAGCAAAGAGAATATGGATTTTAAATTAATTAAAAATTCCTTTGACATGATAATGATTATGCAAGTATATCAGTAACATTTTTGTATAATTACGTATATGCAAGCTTTAACAAACTTGACGCTTTTGGAAATAAAGTATTAATTTTTAACGGTAAACATTTATGTGTGTGCAAAGAGAAGGATAACTATTTTTATCTCGATAAATTACAAATTTTGCAGACATTTTACATTATTTTTATGGACGTTAATGACCTCTATGTTTTTATTGTCGCAGAATCTCTTGGACATTAAAAGTGTGTCGATGACGGGCAACGTACGTTTTTGGAAAACAAATGGCGGAGAAAGTGCAGTCGACGAGTTAAAGAATCTAACGGAGGTGTGGTCGGTGTTTTTAAGAACCATTGATGAAATCCGAAAGAGCTAATAAAGTCTTCTCCCTCTTTCGTTCTTCGCACGATGTCTATCTCAGGTATGATAATTTACAGTTGTATCAGCTCGAAATCATCTGCTTCACAATTAAATTAAGTCATATAACGCTACAACATCGAGTTTATAAATCTAATTATCAATTTTTGACTAAATTCTCATTTTCACACGCGTTTATAAAGAGGAAACTGCATTCGAGATCGAGATGATACGTTTTTTTAAACTTAAAAGTTTTGCTGATTTTCTTCACAACAATGCAATTTTATAATCAATAACACCCGGATATACAGTATGTGTGTTCCACATTGTTTCTCTAATATACGATATGCTATTTTTTTCTAACGCTGTTCTGCATTCTTCGCTTTGGAATTATTTAGATCGAATCGTTTTTTTTTTGCGAAAGTTTCACGCACAGATGTTATCTCTAGGAGTTTCGCGCGACGATAATCGGGCAGTTATTAATGCGAAAATCGCTCTAGTACTTTCGTTTCTTCCGGTTACGACCTACTTTGTGTATAATATGCGCAAGGAAACGTTTGACACGCGGGGAAGTCTTAGATTTTCGTCGAGCACGAGTGACGCGATCGGATCGCCCACTTGTAAAATCGAAAACCGGTTTTGCTCATTACGTCGTCCTCTTGCACGCGTCTCCTTCGGCGGAAGTTCGCACCGATGCGATACACCAAACGATATGTCCGGCGCAAATCGATAGTCGTGCATTCAAGTCATCCCTTTGTGCGCAATAAATGAACATCACCTATATTGCAGAGTCTCATATTTATTTTAATCGCGCTAATTCCGGAGATATTTAATGAGAGTATTTCAGACTGAGAGCTGAAGTAATATTCTGAGAACATTAAATTTCGAGTTAATTTCAACTATTTAAAGTTAAATTTTCATTTGGATCTCTTTACGCATCAAATGAAAAGCATAGAGAGCACGTTTTCTCCTTTTCAAATATAATCCTTATTTTTAAATAAAATTATGTGTAGCAGAACTAATATTTTTATAATTCCAATTCAAAAGTGGTTGGTCCAAGTCTGCTTAGACTTTAATAAAATGTTTTTCTCAATTTTACGATATGTCTTGGGGAAGGTAAGTACAAAAGAATTTTTTCCTACATCAGAATATATTGTTACAAATAAACAAAATGAAAAGAAATATATACCATTGCCTCGACTTTCCCTTGCACCAGTTTCGTCTAACGATATATAGTGAAAGTTTGTATGACGTGACAGGAGAGTTATGTACGAGGGTTGACCGTGGAGAGGGTTAAAGATCGATTCGCATTGTGCGGTGAGCAGCATCACTATTTCGATTTCACGAGAGTAGAGAGGAAGAGATGTTGCGAAGAATACGAATTACTCGTGGTAAAATAAATCGACGAGACTTCGTGAGACTTCGCGACGCGTGACGCGCGTGTCAAACAGGACACTGTATATGTGTGTGTGTATTCGAAGTTCGAGCCCGACCGAATATAGATCGAATGCTCGATCACTTCTGCTCCATTAGTCGATCAGTGTCACGTGTCGAGAACATTGGGGAGATTACTTTTGCTCGCTATATGATCATTTTTACAGGCCGAATTCTCGATCCCTGTGCTTTCTCTCAACATCGATGCGATCTCAAAAGCGAAATATTGTGCATACGAGGAATAAAGAGAATCGGGGCGAATATTTTATCTTGGAGAACGAGAGATTAGAAATGAACGAAATATATATAATATATATATGCATATATTTTACTTAGTGTTCTCAATCGTCTTTCTCTCTATTTATCTATCTCTCCTGTGTGAGGCTTACCTATACATATTGCTGAAATAAACTTCCCGTCAATTATACATGCACTTTACATCGATAAACCGGTATTCCGCTAACCGGGTAAACGTACATAAAATGCTGCTATCTTAATAGAATATCGGTGCTAAGACACTTCTCTTTCAGGAGCAATGGTAAATTAAATAGATAGATAAATCCACAGAGGAAGACAGGAGACAGGAAGCACGTACATCGCGTTCGCAAGAAACTTGCCACAACTTTGGATAAATGGCAATTTATCCAACTGCCATTAGTTGAATACACCTAATGAATAGAGTCTCGTAAACTTGATTCTCACCGACGGTTTTGCTCATAATTTCGTTTCCTGCGTACGACGTTGTACACGAAAGTAAAATTCATATGTGCATCGGTATATATATATCTCGTATGAGTCGCGTATCCATTTCCGGTCATCGATATATTCGAGTATCATGCAAATTTCTGTTATTCTTTTGCCGGACAATCGTTTCACGTTCAATATTCATGACGATGTCTTAGAAAGCGGACAGACGTGTAGCGTGAACGCAATATACGACTGTGTCATTAATCATCATCTCTGTCTGTAGTTCATGTTGCCTATTCTTAATCACTCACGTGCATTTCCAGCTTCGCGTTACGGACTCTCGCGAAATCGATGTGCTCTGTTCTTATCACGTGTCTAGAGACTAATAACGCAAAGACGTTAACAAATATTTATTAATTACTATATTATTTTATTACTATGCAAATATTAATATTAGAAGTATTAATAAATGTTTATTGACGTTATTAAAAAAATAGCAGCGAGATAAAAGACATTTTCAATTATTTCATTTTAATTACGAAGATTGCATTACAACTTTATCCGTATGTAAAAAGAACAGATACATACAGCTGGCCGTACGCTACAGTTGTTCACAAGTATACATATGTTTGTGCCAGTTCAATGGCTTATTTCTTGCCTTTCATATGGAACAAATTAATAGTTGATGTAAGCCGGCTGCTTGTTGCGGAGATGCTAACGTAGCTCGGTTATCGAACTTCTAGGCAAGCAAGATATCGAGTTCGCAACAATTACCGCTCTTGCATGAAAGTCCTGTGATATCATACCGCTCCGCAACTCCCAACGCGGAATGATGTTTGACGTTTTCGAGCTACGCGCGAATTATGTACCTCGGCTTGCAACCGCTGTGCGCAAACTTCTCCAAGAGAGATATATTCCCGACCGTCTATCTATTCGAAAATAGCTGTAGGGAAGTGCAAATGTGAAATAAATGAGGTCGCAATTTGGATTATATATTAACGCTGTTCCCTCTATCCTCCTCCGTAAATCAACATTATGTCTTTTTTACGATTTTACACTATTAAGCAAAAGAAATATATTTAAAAGGAGAATTAAGTACAAAAATATATTTGCGAATAATGTTCAATATTTTGATTTCTTTTTTCAATCTCGATTTGATATTTTCGCTCTGCTGTAGGATACGGCACGTGCGATCGCGCACGTGTAAACGCGGATAGTAAATGCCAATGAAAATGGCACGTCGCGCGAGCATCGTAAAAGCCACCAATGTACCGGTAAAAGCACAACGACGCGGGCCGGTCGTTAGGAAAGCGACCGACCAGGCACCGGCTTCGAAAGTGAGGCCTCGATCACGTCTCGTTTCGACGCCGACTCGTAGCACGTAGACGCGCGCCCGCGAGCTTTGTTTTCGTCCTCTTTTTTTCTTTTCTTTTCTTTTTTCCCTCCTCTCTTGGCACGACGCGGTCCGAATCCCGGACGCGTTTCCGCGCGGGCGAATCCCCGAGGTTTCGAGTCGCGGCGAAATTCTCGGCATAATTGAAATACTCGGTCTTCCTTTGGATTTTGCGTTATAGAGACGAAAAAAAATTGTCGAGCAAATTAGACTCTAGACGAAAAAAATATAAATAAGTATAATAAGTCCTCTGAAAACGCTTATAAAATTTATATCTCATACCGTGTAAAATTTCTAATTTACCTCGTTGAAATTTAATTGAACTTGTCCTATGTATAATGTACGGTTTATTCGTTAGTTTTGATATAGAGAGAGAGCGTGCACGCTCTTTTCGGTATCTCTTAAAATTATCTAATTGATGTCCGTGCGTGCTTGGAAGATAACGACAAGTTTCGGACACGAAGCCGCATTATCGTGCATAAATAGAGCGAGACGTAATCGCGCTGATAAGCGAGGGAGACACGATATATTTAATTCTTCGCGCTAAATTCTATATAGCGGCTTCATCGTTAGAGACCGCTTCTCCTCATAATTCAATTTTCTTCGCTCGTGGAAACTCACCGATTTTCCGCACTCGCAGTTTCGCTACCGCGAAACGTCGTTAGCTTCGAACGAATCGCGAATCGAGAATAGGAAAAGCCAATTTGAGCCGAGGGCGACGAAAGCCGCAGCTCTTCTGCCGATAAACCGGCGAGATAAAACGCGTCGCATAAGAAAATTCGCGCGAGCGAAATCTTTCGTGAAAATTACCTCGCGATCAGCTGATAGTGACAGGTACAGGGCGGAAACGCATTTCGCGCGTTTCGAACGCGCATCTTCTCTCGTCATCGCGGAAAATCGCGCTAAAAAGATCATCAGTCGCGATCGCCGCCAATTCACTTTCCAGATTACAATCGCGCAAGATATTAGCGACGTATACGAGAGGCGAATCTCGCTGCATCTCGGCCGATTCGCGATGCATGATGCGACCGCGTCGACGCGCGTGTTCCCCCGGAGGCATTCCCACGTTCCCTAACGTCCTAATTCCGGCGCGCCTGAATTTCGAAGGTAAATAGACTCTAAACCGTTGACTGCGCGTGTTAAAAGGATTTACATTTCTTTTAGAAAGGCGCGATACACCGCGCGCGACTACACGGAATCGCTTAATGTGAAACGCGCCCACGAAAGATTTTCGTCTCCCACAAGTATATTACTTCTCCTCGGTATTATTCTCTCTCTCTCTCTCTTATACACCGGATCTTTCCCTTGAGGCAGAGTCAGCTGCGCACAGCGGAAACTTCCTTAGATATAACCGAAAATATTATCTCGCGCGTGAATTGAGCTTCCGTCACCGTGCTGTTTCCACGTTTAATTTCCGGTGCCATGGTCCCGCGTAAGGGTGGAAAGTGCGACGAACCGTTCCGTTCGACGAGCAACCCCGAAGAGTAGGTAGGGTAGGTAGGGCGAACGGCGAATAAAAGAAGGGCGCGTCGAACGAGCGGAAAATTCGCGATTGGTTAACCTACTTTGCCGAGAGAACGAATCCTGGAGATCTTTCTTGCGATTTTACGTGGCGAGAGCACGGTCGAACTTTCCGTAGCGATATTGCGCGCTTCAACCCCCTGTGCTGTGGGGATTTCGGATTTAGACAGCTTCCGCGAGTTAAGAAATTACATTCCGATCGAGTTTGCGGAGACAACATCGCAGAGAGAAACGAAACAATGTACTCGCAAAATCTTAAAATGTAATACACAGCGATTTATTTGATTAATCAATTGTTGAGGCTGGATTTCTAAATTTTCATCGCGTGAAAAAATCGATCTTCTGACTAATCGAAAATTGAAATTTTACGCGAGTCTCGTTCGCGAATTTTCGCTCGGCGGTCGTAGTTCTCGACCCAGGATGAGAGAAGAGGATGATGCACCTGTCGGGGGTTGCGGTGGCGGGTGCATCGCGTCGTGGGACCGACGAACAGCGAGTCTACCGCGTCGTGTCGTGGCGGAAAAGGAGAGAAAGAGAGAGAACGATCGTACAAAAGGAAGAGAAAGAGAGAAAGAGGAGGCGAGAGAGATACGTGGGGGTGAGAGAGAGGTCGCGATTGGTTAAGCCGCTCTTGGAAAAGCCCGCCTGGCTGCTCGACCGGCCGGCACTTCGCTCAGTTCTCCACTGCGCTCCGTGTGAAGCGGAGCTTTCGAGATATCTTCCCGCTCTTCCTCTCACTCTCGTCGCGATCCGCGTCATCGATTCCTCGATCCTGGGATCTCTGCGCGAGAGCGCTAATCATCGCGAGAAAAGCGCAGTCCTGATTCGACGATTCAAATTCTCCCTGGAAAAAATTCGCGAGAGAGAGAGGGGTTGAAGGGGTGAAAGAAACGGACGACGATGTGCGAGAGGAAGCTGCTGCGAGTGCTTTAAGACAAGAGGATCTGAACTCTAAGTCGAGAGCGAGAATATCGAGAGTCGAGGGACGACCCTCGAGAAGACGAGGAGGTGCGTCTCCAGGAACGAGCGTGATTCAGGATAATCACGGTGAGTACTTGCATTATTCATTATTATGCGATTCAATGAACTTGGAATCCAAACGCTTTGCAATTTTGCTTTCGCGCGATTTTGGGTCTTCGCGGGTCAATGGTTCGATAATTATCTTCTAGCGTTACGCAGTTTCACCGATAATTGGATTTTGCTGTTATTCCCCTGTTACAACCAATATTTGCATAAACTGTAATTCCTTGGTCCATGTGTTAGCATAATATATTTTTTTAATTAAATTATCTCCATTACATATTTTCGCGAGCAAAACTTACTTATTTGTAAATTAAATTTATTATGCAGAGAAGAGAGACGATTTATGTTGAAAAAAATGCTTGGATGTATCAGATTTTTTTCTAAAATTTCTTCTTTATTGAGATTCTTGTTTAGTATGATTTTTTTCGCGAAAGACGGTTTACATAAAAGTGGCTAGATATATTACACGTTCTTCACAGATTTCTCTTTGAAATTAAAGAACAAAGCTGAAATTACAAGTATAAGACGGCCAAAGCAGGTAACGAAGCGCAGTCGGTGCTCGTTATAAACTCGCATGATGTTCTCTGTGTGTAGATAAGGGATGATAGGAGAAAATTAAGGAAACCCCTGCGCTTACTATTCTGTAGCTTTGTCGAGACTACGCTCTTCCAATTTAAGTGCACGGTCGTGTTCTCTCGAGCATGAAGTATGAAGCTTAACGCTAAAGAGAATCCGACGTTTATTCTCGGTGGCGTATCTTTCGGTGAAATTTTAACTAAAAATATTATCCATAAGAGGATTCTGTACACGAATCTTTATACTTGTCAGAATCCTTTTGCCTCCAATTAATTACTCCAAAATCGATAAATTCTAATATCGCGCGAAATTGATCAAAACATATATATAACGGAAAGCCACATTTTTTCGATAATTAAAGGACATTCTGTATATTAAGAAAAAAACAAGACGGTACATATAAGACGTTGCGATAGCTCGTCGCGAAATTAAAGACGTTGTTCGTTTTAATAAGGCACAAGAGTATATACGTTCGGCTAACAGGTTTCGCGCGAAGAAGATTCAAAAGGAACCCTTGCTGCCACTCAGCATATAGGTCACGACCTTTCGTATTCGCGACCTATCCATACGTTTCCTCCGCAGAAACGAGTCCCGCGAACGACGCCGCGCGTACATACTTTATCATTCTCGAAGGAGAACGTTCGATCTATTTCTTAATCCGGATTTTCGGCTATTCGTAGACCGCTTGTCGGCAGAATCGATTCTGAGAGAAGAAACTTTGGTAGTGCGCTCTTCGATGGGTGTCAATCTTATTAAGCGGAGACAGGTATTGCCACACGCGACGGTTATCAGGGATCACGAATCATTCTGCATGTGTGTGAGCATGCATGTGTGTGTATATATATGCGCACACGGATGTTGCTCTTAATGAGCTCCGAAGATCGTTCAATTCGTTGCACGCGTGACAGGATGGCTTTTCCGTGACTCTGTTGATTTCTCAGGGAGAATTTTCCGGACGTAGCGTTATTCCTCGATTCCGTCGCCGGAAAAGCTTCGGAAAATTGAGATCGCTGAGTCAGTATTATCTCGTGGTTTTATATTAATCCCGCTATTTTCCTCGTCATTTCCTTCGGCATATCGAAGAAATATTTGACGAACGGCTGCATTAGAATTTAGAGCACGACCTCTCTTATAAATTCGGATATTTTGTAATATTATAAAATTACGTGAAAAGGAATCAAATTATAAAAGAAAACTGTTCTAGATTGAACTTTAATGAATAAGCTCAGCTGAACATGATTTATTAAAGGCGACGGTCTTGAAAACTCGATATCGCTGCGCATATAATTTTTTATTTAAAAGACGTGACGTGTATAAAATAGAAATTTTTGTGCGAACGATACATTTTGCGTAACGTCGATGAGAAAGAACTTAATCGATGGGGCGATTTGTGCCATTTTGTATCGCTGTCGCCGAAATTTTTGCATCGATCGCTCGACGTTCGGTCACTAAGACGGTATGGAATTCGGGAAATGCTAAACGATATGTAACTAACTGTGGAATCCTAGTTATCCTGTATTCAGATCGAAACACTACACTCGCGTTGCGTTTCTAGATTTGCGGTTCCATTCTCGTCCGTGCATCCTTAATCGGTTTGGTTTGCGAGTCTATTGATTTCTGGTGTTAACCGGCGATCCCGAATTCAGAACGCGAAATCGCCGTTTGATTGGCATTAATCACAGTCGCGAATGCACTCGCGTCGACTACGAGTTTTCCCTACTCGTTCGTACGTGGATACGGTGCGTAATTGTGTTCTTGATGCAATTTGTTGAAACTGCGGCGGAACTCTCGTTAGGGTAGCGCGAAACTTGACGAAAGTGTAGTGCGTTTCTTAACGTTAATTAAACTTTGCGATAGAGAGAAAGAGAGAGAGAGAGAGAGAGATTTCAAGATATTCCGAATTATATATGCAAAATGGGAAAAATTAAATTGCCAACTGTCGAGGTAAAAGGATATTAAATATGAACGTGCGTCTTGAGTGGTATTTACTACAAATTTCAAAGTATATCAAGTAATCGAATTTTAGATTAAATAAATTAAAGGCAAATAAAGGAGAGACTACGTCAAATATAAAAAGATAAAAAAAAATCGTGAATATTTTAAAATTCAATTTCTAAGATAAACAATCTAAAGCACTATTGGAAGAAAGATAATTGAAGTAATATATCTTGAATTTTTGTTTAACGTGTAAAACAATCCTTTCAATTGGATAAATATAGGACGCATGCCGCGCATTCTGTTGCATATTGTCTATACTCGTTACATCGAATTATTCGAGGAATTTTGCGTTAAGGGATACTATATATTCCACTGGTAGTTTAGGTTCAGTTTAAAGACCGGCGGGGCTCTCTGCGTATCTGTGTGTTGCGGTAACGCCGGAAACTTTGCGCGGACCAAGTTTTCGCCGTAACTACTCGCCCAATCTCGTCGCGTATATATCTCCGATCCACGGCGCTTTTGTACGCGCAGCAGCTTTCTCGCGCTTGTTCCTCGCGTTACGTATACCTGTGTACCTCGCCGCGAGAACAACCGTGTTATATTAAACTCTGCCGCTTACACGTCACTAAAACTCCAAAGGTAAGTGGGAAAAGAGGGAAGGAATCCAAGGGGTAGGTCATGGATGTCCGCAGGATTTTTTTTCCAGGGAAGGGCATGATTAACATTTTTTTGTTTCTTATATTTTAATTATATTTCTTATATCTTAATTATTATTCTTTCTTCATTTTTTAAATTTAATTTTTTTATTTATTTTGTTATTTTTATATTTTTATATGAAGTAAAATTGCAAGTAAATACCTATGTGTTTATTCACAAGGAGAGCAAATGCTTAATTTTTTTACTGATTCCACGGGGGATAAATGCTTCCTACGGATGTCCAAGGGGTGGATCGAGGGTACTATTTTTCGACGTAGCCGCAGTCACCACCCGCCACCCTTCGCATCCAATCTGCCCGACTTCTTGCGCGCATCCGAAATTGCATCTGTTTCATCGGTATCCAGGACGAGTGCCAAAGTTCGATCTCGCCCCGCATATCGCCTCGCGGGGGCATCGAGACCTCACCCCGTTCCCCGGGAATCCGTTATGCGGAGGATATGCAGTCGATCACGCGGAATATCAAAAGAGTTCTCTCCGCGCGGCGAGGATTTTCCAGGCTTTTACGATGCGGCCGGCTGACGTTTATGCGGATATCCGACACGTTAACAATCCGCGCATTTTCCGACGCTATTTCTCGTAAAATCGCCATTCGCGTATTCGGCGAATAAAAGAGCGAGCTCGAAAGTAGCGCGAGAGATGCAGTTGATCGGAAAATTATACTCTCGGATTAGTGATTTATTAAAGATTATATCGGAACAAATGTCCGTGCATGGAAAAATCATTTCTGAATTTATCAAATCTTTCAGTCGTCAAATCTTTTATATCGATAAATAGAAAGAATATATTGCGAATGCAAAGTATATAATAAAATAAGAATTTAGTCTCTCTATAATGTATAAAAATTCGCTGAGTAAAACGATCAAATTTTTAATAGGATTATAATTTGAAATTTTGGTAATTGCAAACGGGATCAATTATAAATTCGCGCAGTTTCGTGAAATAGGAATTATGAAATTACACACATTCACATGCATATATATGTACATTGATATACTTGTTTCATTAAACTTCTCTATCTGCTAGTTAAATGAGGAGGCAAGGCAGCACCGGCAATTTAAAGCCGTTGCGTCGTGAAATATTCCATAAGCGTTCTCGAAAATTTCATAGATACGAGCGCGATATCGTTTATTCGACCGCGAAATTGCTCCTCAACTTTCGTCATTTTCCTCCCAAAGAGCATTGATCATCGCGCCGATATTGCGCGGTTTATTAGTCGAGTGTCTGGTGAATTCGAAATGCTCTCTGCTCTTGCTCAGCACCTCGGAGAAACGACGAACTTGTAAATTTTAATTAAAAATCATGCGCGATAAAACGTATCGTAAGCGTTAAAAAACGGGCAAAAAGCACTTTAGCAACTATTATTATAAATTTGATAAAAGGCTGTTAAGAGCAGTAAATATAAAAAATTCAAATTATGTTAGAAAGTAAAGTCATATATAAAAATAATATTCTTTAATCAAATGTCTAATAATGAATTACAATAAAAGGCAACTATTATTATTATTAATGTCACATCTTTGCAGTCACGAGCTTATTTACGTTTGATAAACTGTGCGCAATCCACTTTTTCGCATTTGTTATTGCGCTACGGATAAACTGGAGAAACATTTTTACGAAGCATAAGAAAATGAAATATTTACAATTTTTTACGAGCCGTGTCATCATTATATATTCATGTGTTTACGTCATATAGAAACGTAACTTTTTAAATTTATGTTCTAAATGTATTTCGCGCACGCGATCTAAAATTATCTCTTCGTTTTATGTATATTCGATTCTTTTATTTTGGCTTT